TCACTGCAAGTGTTACTCATGGCAATTCAAATCAGGTTTTGGTGCCAGGATTTTGCCTACCATGAAAAAGGCCATTCCTCAATCTGCAAGTTTCGAAGTGCCATTGGCGCCAATCGAAAGCAGCAAGTTGCATGACCCCGAAGCTGCAGCAGTGATTCAGTATGCAGAACAGGAGAAAAAGGCTGAGGAGGAGCAGATTGCAATGAGCTTGAATGACCCCATCAACGTTCATGCTCAAGTCCAGCAGCAACAACAAGCGCAGTTGCAGGAAGAGCCTACTGTTTTTGATGATGGTCAGCCAGTTGGTGATGGAGTGGTTTTGGTACACAATCCTGAAGCCACAGGTCCAGTTCCTTTGAGTGATCCTGGTTTAGCAGTGCCTGTAACCCCTCCAAGGGATGATGTTACTCTGGACTGTCCACGTGGAAGTTCGACAGTGAGAGCCAATGATCCAGGAGGAGCTGAGTCCGAAGAATCAAAAAGGGCCAAGGTGGAGGAAGCAAAGAAACAGAGAATTAATAGGCTTCAACTGGAATATGAAGAACGACTCAGTGCAGTTAGAATAGCCTATAAGGAATATTTCACGATGGATGGTTACTCCACAGACCTCGATGTTGATGACGATCTTTGCGAAGATGATGAGTTTTGGTATGGTGAAGATGAAGTGAAACTGGGTGACATCCCAGAAGCATTGTGGTCAGATGCCCCGACCGATATGATTCCAAGCCATGCGCCGGAAGCTTGGATAGACGAGTTAGCAGATCAGGTTGAGATTCAACGTTTGTGCAGCATGAAGGTTTTGGTTCGTGCAGATGAGTATCAGGGTGATGCCAGCGGCAAGCTTACAACACGTTTGGTGAGAGACTGGAGATTGAAGCCCTATGGGGAGCAGGAAACATTGAGGTGGATGCGTCGTTCCAGATTTGTTGCAAGAGAGTTTGCGAATGACAAAAGATTGGACACCTTCAGTCCGGCAACTGGAGCGCATACTGCAAATCTGTTACCCATTCAGTATCTCTGGCAAAAGCAGCAGGCAATGGAAAACAAAGGTGACTATGAGGTTGTGATGGGTTGTTTGGATGTGAAAGATGCATTCCTCCAAGTGCAACAGCCGAACCCCATCTTGGTGAGTCTTCAAAACCAACCCTTTGTGATCTTGCGTAACTTGCCTGGTCAGAGAATGGGCGCTCGACAATGGTTTCAACATTTGCGTGAGCACTCAGAGATGCGCGTGATTTGAGTTTTGCAGTGAGCAACCGTGCTTGCCGAAAAATCAGCATGCCACTAGCCTCCTCCATGTCGACGACATCATGTTTGTTGGCAAGAAGTCCTTTTGGGAGAATACTTTTCTCAAAGGCATGCGTGAGAAGTTTTCAGTGAGCCAACTCAATGGCTTGGGAACCAGCATTACGTTTTTGAAAAGGAAAATCACTGAGATGGATGGATGGTTGATGCTTACGCCTGGAACTGAAGTTGAGAAGGTTGTGAAAGCATTTGAAGCAGCATTTTGTGTTGCTCGCAAGCAGAAAGTGCCATGTGACTCTAGCATTCAATTGCCCGATGAGTCAGAGAAATTGAATTCCAAGGATTCCAGTTCCTACAGGTCCATTATCGGGCTGTGCCTCTACGTGAGCAAGGCACGCCCAGACCTTATGTTCACCATCAAAGAACTTGCAAGCAGCATGGCAACCCCAACTTTGACTTCAGTGCAACGTTTGAGAAAACTGGTTGGGTATATGAAGCATGTTGGTGACTTAGCTTTGCGTTTGGATGTGCCTATGCCTGGACAAGGGAAATGCTTTTCAGATGGAGGTGCAACTTGGATTCTGGAGAGTTACTCTGATGCAGATAGGTCTTCAAACAAAGATCATCGAAAATCGACCTCATGTGGGATGCATTATTTGAACAATGCGTTTGTCTTCGGCAGCAGCAGAAGTCAAAGAACCATATCCCTTTCATCCTGCGAACCAGAGCTGCGTAGCATTGTCAGTGCAATGTGTGATGGAATTTTCATTGTTGCATGTGCTCAGTTCATCTTTGGGACGACGGTGAGACATGTTCACCACACTGACAGTTCTTCAGCACGTCAGATTGCATCACGTGAAGGTTGTGGACGCCTGAGACATGTGTCAGGAAAGATATTGAGGATTCAACAGAAAACCAATGACATATCTGTGACTTTGAAACAAGTACCTACAGTTTGGAATGTTGCAGATATAGGTACCAAGTGCCTTCAGCAGAAACGTCTTGTCTGGCTCATGTATGAAAGTGGACTGGTGTATGTGAACACCTTTGAGAGCGCTGGAGAACAAGAAAACCAAGAACAGGCCGAGAAAACAGGCCATCGAAATCAGCTGCAAAAGCTGGTTATCATGCGTTTGACAGTTGCAATGGGCCTTGGGCCACTGGGAGTGATGGGTCAGCAATGTGATGGACCCCCAACAGTCCCAGAAAGCGAAGTGACTTCATGGAGATTTTGGATGTTTGGAATGATGTTTATCCTTTTGCTGGGATTGGTTGCGTTGGCAGTTTCTGCACGGCGCAGATGGAAAAGCCTGGGTGAGGATGTTGAGAGCATCCGGCAGCAACTTGGAGATCACTACGAGTATGCAGCATGGTTGTGCGAACGTTTGGATAATTTGAATTGGCTGGTCAGTGATGGACCAGGATTGGCAAAGAGGTTGAATGAATTTCATGTCAGGTTTACAATCTTTGAAGAAGATCTCAGAGAGAACTTTGCAGCCTTGGATGATGAGACGGATTGCATCCGTTACGGATTGATGGAGTATGGAGGTTTCGTAAGAAACACAGTGCTGACACGTGCTCATCCAACTGACGATCATTGTGAGCCTGGTGAAAATGCAGAGGAGGAATCCCCTACGGATGGTGAAGGGATTGGTTCAACAACTGGCATGACGACATTGCTGGAATCTACGAGAGGTCACCAAAACGAAGCTTTGGCCCACGACCTCTACTATGATGCCTCGCAGATGCAGCAGGCCATTATGACAGTCCTGAATGCCAGTCCCGGATCTCGTCCAACCGGAATGTCAATGCCCGTTGTGACTTCAATTCGAGGAGTTTTCCAAAGGTTCCATCGATATGCAAGGAATCGTGGACGTGAATACATGGCCAAAGGTATGTGAGCGATTTGAACGGAATCATGCAGGGCAATTGTCTTTGAAAATTTTGGTGAAAACTTGAAATGATGATAGATCAGGCACAACGCCTGGTTGAAAGACGTCGAAAAATGGGAAAAAAAGGGAAGAGCACAAAACACCGTAAAACGCGGGACTTTTTGGCCCTACCGACTCTACGGCGGCTGGGGGTGCAGAAAACTGGAACAAAAATCAGAGCGATACGCTCAGACTTTTGAGCAGGAGTACGAAGCATTTGCAATTGTACTCATGTGCAAGGATGACAGCACGAATCGAGAGTGAAACGTGCAAACATTAGACATGAAAACCATGTCAATGACTTTTACTCGTCAGGCCTTTTGTGGTCCAAAACAGAGAGCGCTGCCCGCCGTTTGTTCACACAAAACAAAACACTCAACCATTACGTGCGTCGACGTAAACCACTGCCCCACTGTGCGCTATATAACTTATGCGAAACGGAACTGCCCCACAATCGTCGGTTTCTGGCGTGCCCAGGTAAGTTGTAGGGGCTTACAACTCTTTCCCGTTGGTCGCGTGGCGTTGCGAGATATAGAAGGTCTTAAGGTGAACAGGTTGATAGACAGACCTTAGTACTTGGCAGGAGAAGGATACTTCTGCTTGCAGACGCTACTTTCTCTCTGGCGTACTAAACAAAACTCTATGTTTATAAGAGCCTGGTCTGTATATACTCCCTTCCTGTTCCATTATCTTACCTTCTACGCGTTGCGCCCTTATCCGCCTCTCCTTGTCTCCAACTGTTTCTCAACCCCTTGTTCCCTCCCAACTGAGCTGAAGGGTTCAAACATCACTGCTGTCGTTTTTCAATTTTTAAAATGTTGAACAAACCCTTTTTCCAGTTTGAGGGAACCGGTGCTTGGGTTGAAATCTTTTAACAGTTGATGCAGATAAACCTGCAGTTTTAATCACCGTTGTTTTCAATTATTTTAACAACCTGATATTTTCCGGATTGCAATGTTGAGGATACACAACGTTTGTAGCAACCCTTGTTCGAGGGTAGGAGGGCGGGTTTCAATAGAAAATTTGAGACCAGTAGAAAGTGTCACTCCCTATCCCACCCCACTTTCTGGGGGTATATCCCGACCAGCTGGGGACCTGGAATCAAAAACCGCTGCCGAGAATGGTCGCACGTTTTAGAAAGAACCAGATGATGGATCAACCCTTTTTCCATTTCGTTGCATGGAGTTGTGAAACCCTCAACCAGAGACACGAACCCTGGACCACTTGCATTTGGCGAGTTCAAAGAACGAAAAAAAAGGTGAGTGCCCATCCATTGAAGCCGAGCTGTCACATTTCTCATGTTGTTCAATTTTTCACTTGATGTGTTTCTCAGTGCAGTTGCAGACATGTCTTGAAATCTTGTGCACGCTGGCGTAACCCAAAACAAACCACTCAACCATTATGTGCGTCGACGTAAACCACTGCCCCACTGTGCGCAAACTTACGCGAAACGGAACTGCCCCACAATCGTCGGTTTCTGGCGTGCCCGGGTAAATTGAGGGGCTCACAACCTTTTCCCGTTGGTCGCGTGGCGTTGCGAGCGTATAGAAGGTCTTAAGGTGAACAGGTTGATAGACAGACCTTAGTACTTGGCAAGAAAAAAATACCACCGCAGCATTTCAGACTCGTCCCCATTTGGCCATCGGTTTCAACCTGGTTTCCGAAACCATGGCGCTCCGTGGGCAGTGTGGAACTCAATTGTTTCCAGTTGTTGGCATCCCAGGGCATCCAATGGCCATTAAACATTGATATAAACATCATTAAACAGATTAAATTAAACATCAAGACATCAAGATCCTCATCCACTTTCCTGTCCTGTCTGAGGACAACTCCTTTTGGTCCCTATGGAGGTCTCTTGCTCTCCTTTTGGCGTCAGGAGAATCCGGAAGAGACTCCTCAGCGCTTGGAACAGCTCGGGGCTGGCACTGGAGCAGCAGATATTGAATATGAACAATTCTTGAAAGCGAAGGAGGCCAGTCTATCCATGTCTATACACCTAGGGCCCCAGGGAGCAGGAGGACACTCATGTGGGGATGTAGATAGATATTTCCTGCAGAGTCTTTCAATGACAGAAGTTAGCTGTTGAGTGGCTCTGCATTGACGAGCATTGACGACAATTTCACCTTTTGACTACACATAGTGACATAGTGCTACTGTAGCGACTTGTACTTTGGATGTCTGAGCTTCTGTTTGTTGACTCGCAGGTGCAGAGGGCCATGTTCCAGGCAGAGAACAAGACCATTGTGCACCAATGTGCTGACACCGACATCATCGAAGCCACTGCGGGATCTGTGGCATGTATCGATGGGAACCAGGCCGCAGCTCACGTTGCCTATGCCCTCAGTGACTGCGCCTTCATTTATCCCATCACGCCCAGTTCCCCCATGGGAGAGATGGTGGATGAGTGGTCCGCACAAGGCAAAACTGGGTAGCTGTCAGTGGCCAGAGCGGAAGGTGGTATTTCCGGATGGCTCAAAAACTATGCTTCCTTATTTGGGGAATGAGCATACATAACTACCAACTATTTGACCTGAACATCAGGGTACTATGGTCTCGATCCAGAGGCAAAATATCCAGAATATCCAGATACAGATATTGCCAATTCTTCATGATAAAATCCTCAATATTCTTGGATTCTCAGGGTTTTCAATCCATCAATCCACAAGAATTCTGTAGCCTGATGCGTACAGTAGATCTGCCCTGACCAGCTCGGCAGGCCTCATCAACTGCTACGGCCAGAAGCTGAGCGTCACCGAGATGCAGAGTGAAGCTGGTGCCGCTGGCGCCTTGCACGGTGCCTTGAAGGCAGGCGCCTTCAGCACCACCTTCACCGCCAGCGACTTGGGCGAAAGCGGGTGACCTGTGGATCTCTGAAGATGGGAAAATCAAAACTGGAAACCCCTAGATTTGATGGATAAAAAATATGGTTTCCTGCTGAAACCAATCCATTTGAGTGGAAGTTGACTGATAGGAGGTTGACTGGCAATTGGGTGACTCCGGTGTGAATGTGGTGTGGTTCTGGTACAGTTGGGAAGTACCGTTCTGGTTTTGAGGGGTCGGGTGCCCTCTGGTCTGTTGTAGAGGTCACTTGTGTAGTTCACTGTGTGGTGCCGTTCAGGCTGGTTGGAGGGTGTGCTGGCTTGAGTGATCGAGCGCGTTGAGCGTGTGCCATTATGTGGGCATGGGTATGGGTCGAAATTTAAGACTTAAGACCCAGACATTTGCATTTCTTCACCATCGCATATTTTTTTAATCAAATTTTGATTCATGCCTAGGTATCTATAGGTCTTGTGACAGCTCCTCCTCTCTCAGGTCAGGGCTTGCTGTTGATGATCCCGAACATGTACAAGATTGCGGGTGAGTTGCTCCCTTGCGTCATGCACGTGGCTGCTCGTGCGTTGGCAGGACAGGCGCTGTCCATCTTTGGAGATCACAGTGATGTCATGGCTTGCCGTTCAACGGGCTGGGCGCAGTTGGCTTCAGAATCTGTGGAGATGGCACAGGTCAATGCCATTGTGGCCCACCTTGTTTCAATGGAACGCCGAGTTCCCGTGCAGCACTTCTTTGATGGTTTCCGAACCAGTCATGAGGTGAACAAGATCAAATAGATTGACTACAACACCATGAAGTCCTTTATCAATTGGGATGCTGTCAAGGAGCACCATGATTTGGCCATGAACCCTCGCCATCCTCACGTGCAGGGCACTTCGCAAGGTCCCGATATTTACTTCCAGTGCGTGGAAGCTGGGAACACTTTCTACGATGGCTTGGCCGATCTTTTTGAAGAAAAGGGGAAGCTGGTTCAAGAGAAGATTCTCGGCTTCAAAATCACTCAAAGTGCGAACCCATTTCTTTTGACCCTGCAATAAATGGAGGTTTTCTAAAATAGGGGTAGCCCAAATCATTCCAAATTAGACCATTTTAGTATTGAAACCCATGGTTTTAGAGATCCCCCATTTGAAGAAACCCCCCAAATGGCTTAGGCATGGGGCGCATTGTGCGAATTCAGTCCATTTTGTTTTTTTTCCAGTCAGGACGGGCTTGCACTTCGCCCTCTACGCCTATGAAGGCCACCCCGAGGCAAAGCACGTGATTGTGGTCATGGGAAGTGCGGCTGTGACTTGTGGAGAGACGGCCAGCTACCTGACCAAGAAGGGGCAGAAAGTGGGCGTCTTGAAGGCGCGTAATGTCATGTACTGTATAGGTTGTTCTTCTCGACTCGGAGATCTTTTTGTTGCTGGCTTGTTGAATAACTGCCGATGTATCAGTATGGATGGCCAAGCATTCTTTGAAGTCTTGTGGTAATCTTCAGTACGCATCAGGAATCGCACTTGTACTTAGTGACTTGATGTTACTTGTTTGTTGGGAATCGGGCAGGTGCGTCTCTTCCGACCTTGGGACAGTTCCCGCTTCCTGGCGGCTCTGCCGAAGACCACGGAGCGCATCTGCGTTCTGGACCGCACCAAGGAGCAGGGCTCGCAAGGTGAGCCATTGCTGCTTGAGGTTGCCTCCATGTTGCATGCCAGTGCTCACTCCGAGATGGTGGTCATTGGAGGCGCACGGGACACAAAACTGGAGCCAAGTTGAGCCAAGGTTTGGGGAATCTGGCTTTGCTGTTTTGGATAAGGTTTGTTGATCAGGGAATTCATCCATGAAAATTGGAGATTGAAGGAAAGCGTTGACCTGTGAGGCCGCTATGGGCTTGGCTCCAAGGAGTTCACTCCGAACATTGTGCTGTCCATCTATGAAAATCTCGCCAAGGAGAGCCCCAAACCACGCTTCACTGTGGGCATCGACGATGACGTGACCTTCCTGTCGTTGCCAGTGGGCCCATGGCTCAATGTGCTTCCAGAAGGCACCACTGAGTGTATGTTCTATGGACTCGGAAGTGACGGAACCGTGGGTGCCAACAAGAGCGCGGTGAAGATGATTGCGATGGGTACGGAGCTACATGCTCAGGCACGCTTTCGCTGCGTCGTGGAAAGCTTTCAAGATAGCAACTTATTCATTATGCAACTATTCAGTCACTGAGACCCAGCACACGCTGGCACCGCTGACGCGCCTCACAACTTTGTTTAGTATTTCATGGCACCTTTAGCTGTAAACACATATTTGAGAAGCTCATTTTGATTCCTTTTGATGATTCTCTCCACATATTTTTGTTGTGAGACTCGTGTCGGACTGTTACATCCAGGCCTACTTCGAGTACGATGCCAAGAAGAGTGGCGGCGTGACCATCAGCCACTTGCGCTTTGGTCCCAAGCCCATCCATGCGCCCTACAATGTGCGCGCAGCCGATTACTTGGCCATCCACAAGCCAAGCTATGTGCACAGCTACGTGCCCTGACTGTGAGGCTGCGAGAAAATGGGGGAAGAGTCCACAGTAAAAGGATTCTCACAGCCCTGTTCTGTAATTTTGCAAATATCTTTTTCCCGAAACAGGGCCAGATTTGCCAAGGACATGACACGCTACTTGAAGCAGAACGCCGTGTGCGTCATCAACTGCTCCTGGGACAAGGGCGAGTTGGAGAAGCAGCTGCCACCCAAGATGCGCAAGGATTTGGCCGAAAAGCAGGTCCCATGGCCATTGGAAAAACATTCCATTCAGGACCAAAAGATTGGAACTGGGAAACTACAATTCTTGCTTGTGGTGCTGTAGGTTTGGTATTGACCAATTCATTTTTGTTTCTTGATCCTTGTGAACCGCCACCTTGAGATTCGGAATGATTCGGATGGCCGGACGTCGCAACCTTGTGGTCATAGTCGTTGCAAACGAACAGGTGTAGGAAATGGATTCAGCAGCTGCAGGTGACAAGGTTGGCAGCCAGGGTTGGTTCGGATGTTGGACTCTGAGGCCAAGCTGTTCATCATTGATGCGACCAAGATTGCTGTGAAGGCGCTGGAACACTTGTTGCATGAGGAGTAGTTGTGATGTTCGTTTGTTTGAAACAAAAAGCAGCACAGCGTATTTTTGTGCTGAACAATTTGACAAGCCAGGGGTTGGTGGGTGGAATGTTGCCTATCAACCTGGCCATTTTGGCTCAAGGGCCAGGCCATTTGTAACATTTTCTTTTTTTTTTCAATGCGGTGCTTCGCGCGCCATGGCCTGGTCTACCAATTTGGCCTCTTTTGGGTCGCTGCGGGAGTGTCGGACGTTCTTTGGGATCTCCGACGACCTGTGGGCGGCATTCACTCAGGTGATCGGGGACCCGATGGACGATTCGAGGATTTTGGCCGCGCTTCCCCCTTCGATCATCCAAGCCGCCATCGAGACGACGGTTTTGGACAGCGGCGACCCCATCTCCTTGGTGCAGGCCGCGCAGTTGGGGTTGGTCTACAGACTGGCGAAGCGGAAACAACATGTGGACGCTGGCCTGGACTTGACGTTTTGGATCGACCCAGATCCTTGGGGTACACCTACGGGAGCACCCGCACAACAAGCGGCGGACACCGTGAACCAGACGAAGGCTCCCGAGAGGAAACTGAAGTTTGCCAGCATCCTGGATCAGGCAGACGAGTCAGAATTCATGGTGGCGAGCGAGATGCAGAAGCAGGTATGGTTGCAGACGTATGTCAACCTGACAGGCGACCTACCCATGGAGCAGGAGGAGCCCACGACGGAGCAACTATCGGCATTGCACAGAAGGCTGACTTCGAAGCAGTGCCCCTATGCCGACTTTGCAGTCTTCCTCCCCTTTGGAAGGAAGGCGCATCGGGCTCAGAAATACAGGACCTACGTCATGACACCGAATGGCTTCTACACGAAGGAATTGCTGGGGCCCAGTGGCATAGACCAGTGGCGAGCTTCGTTCAGGGTCTATCGCACTGCGCTGCTGATGCTGCAGGCCATCACAATGTCGACAGCAGTGGCGTACGAGGCCTTCATAGAAAAGATGGACCGCCTGTACAAGGGCTGCTGGCACCTCATCGTGCAGGCCGACGAGTTGGCGAGGTCGGAGCACATGCTCAGACTGAAGGTGTCAACAGAGATGGACATCTCCATGGGCGGGAAGGTGCCAGCGATGTGGAACGCGGACAATCCTTGGGAGGCCCTGTTCAGGAGGCTTCTCAAGGATTCTGACTTCTGGGCCGAGCAGGTTCATCTGCCAGCCAATGCATGGTTGGCGCATGGCTCGAAGGGCAAGCTCCTCACACCGTCAGAGGCCATTGCGGAGTCCAGCATTCAAGGGGGCTCTGCGGTGCTGAAGCCAGACGTGGAGGGGACGAGGAACACCCAAGAGCCATGGAAGAAGTCGGCAAACGCCAGACGAAAGGAAGCAAAGAAAAGAAAATGGCAAGAAGCGGAGGAGAAGAACACCGGCACGAAGGGAAAAGGGAAAGGAAAAGGAAAAGGGAAGGCCCCAGCATGCTATGCCTGGAACAACAACAATGGGGCCTGTGCTGGACTCCCTCCAGGATCTGCCTGCCGAGGAAACGTCGTAAGAGAGCACAGATGCACGGCCTGCGGCTCACCTGGACACCCTTCACATCAATGCTCACAGAAAGAAGGCTGATCGTGGAGCTCAAGATGGATTGGAGGAAGTTTGAACGACGCCACGGCAGGACACAGGACGGCTTTCATGTGCCCTGCTTCGCATGGGGGACATCCAGATCCAGGGGAAGGGAAGACAAGGCCGACGAGAAGAAGGACGACGAGAAGAAGGAAGACAAGCAGAGCCCACAGAAGAGACGCCGAACGACCAAGGACCCAGACAATGATGACGAGCCCAAAGCTGAGTTCAACGGCAAGCTCATGACTGTGGACCTCTACACAATGAAACGGAGGTTCAACTTCCTTCACATGTACGCGGGCAAGAAGGACCCTTTGGGAGAAGCCATCAAGAGACAGGCAAAAGCCCACAGGATGAAGGTAACAGTCATCTCTTGCGAGAAAGAAAACGGCGTCGACCTCCTAGCCGAAGAACCTTACCTGGAGTTCTTGAACAAGGCGAAGGAAGGCTTTTGGGATGGGATGCATTCAGGATTTCCATGTACTTCCTTCTCGAGATTGCGGTGGCGGGAGGCGAAGGGTTATCCTGGACCTGTTCGGTCGAAGAAGCATCCCTATGGAATACCAGGTCTTCCAAAACATCGGCAGCAAGAAGCTGACGAAGGGACATTGCATGCGTCGAGATCGGCGCACATGGCTGATCGGATCATCTCCTCCAGGCCAGTAGATAGATTGAGGCCCTTCGCAACTCTTGAAAATCCTCCCCCAACTGACCACGGCGAACACCTGTCAGCGTGGGAGTTGCCGGAGGTTGCAAACCTGTTCGTGAAGTATGAACAAGACTTCATCCTGGCGGAGTTCCCCACCTGCATCTACCAGCCCCACCTGGACTTTGGGCTGAGGACGTTCAAGCCCCAGATGTTTGGAGGGACGTTACCGGGCCTTTCTTTGTTGAGAGGCAAGTGCAGGTGTGGTGACGAACCTCATGTGCCGGTGGTGGGAAAGGAGCGATCGGCGGCCTCGGGGGAATATCCTGAGGACCTGTGCAACGTTTATGCCAGGCTGGTCATCAGGCAATTTCAGAGGATGGCCAAAGCGGAGTTCTTCACCAAGAGACAGGAGGACCTTAGAAAGGAGGTGGATGAACTCAAGAAAAGAACAGAGGTGCACACGAGGGGAAGATCGAGGTCAGCACGAAGGGAGAAGAGAAAGGAAGAAGATCCTGATGGAGTGACCAAAGAGGAGGACACAATCAGGACGACTGCTTCATCAAAGTCGAAAAGCAAAGCCAAGATCAAGCAGGACGCGGACGAGTACGAGTACACGTACGAGTACGAGTCCTCCGAGGAGGTGAAGGCAGCTGAGGGAGAGAAAATCAAAAGCGAGCTCTCCCCCAAGGGTGCCAAGAAGGTTAAAGCTGAGAGAGACAGAGACTGGAAAGGAGGAACGGGAAAGTTTGGGATGCTAGGTGAATCCAAAGCCAAAAGGGAAGACCCCAGAAACCTGAACTTCCTGGGGGGCATGCGCAACCCAGCCGAAGTGGTGGAAGGTATGCCCAATGCCTTGAGTTTGGGTTTGAGGATCTTCGCGGCATGGGAGCGATTCATCAAGTCGAACCCATCGACGTTGGAGACAGCCGCCGCCTACGGCACGGAGGCCTGCGACCTCGATGAGAAGGCTCTGGATAGATGGCGAGCCGAGCTGCGAAAGGCGGTGGGAGCTAAGGGGAAGATGAAGGCACAATTGAAGTCGAAGTGGACCTTCACATCGCCCATCCATGGCGACATCCTCGAAGCCTGGACCTCGAAGGCGGCGGACCCCGACACCGAAGTGGCCAAGTGGGTGACTGAAGGAACCCCACTGGGCATCAATCGTGACATCAAGAGCAAGGGCATCTTCCCACCATCTGACAGAGACGCAGGAACAGGAATCCATGGTTGACGCGGCGATGCAGATGGCCAGGGGAGCCCTGGTAAACTACACGTCGGTGATGGAGAACAAGGAGGACACGAAGGTAGAAGTGGATAGACTGGAGCGGCTGGGCTTCTTGAAGAAGATCGATGGTAAGACAGTAAGGGATGAATTCTCCCAGGGCACCATCTCAAAGTTGGCGATTATCATCAAGGAGAGGCCCGACAAAACCAAGAAACGGAGGCTGATAATCGACTTGAGAAGGTCGGGAGGAAATTCCAAAGCCCGACTTGAAGAAAGGCTGGTGCTTCCGAGGGCGATGGATGCGGTGGCCATGATGCGCACCATGTCAAAATTGCAAGAGGCGCCCTCAGCCGCAGAACAAAGGGAGATGTGGAAGAGGGAGATGGTGCTGATCGACGTCGCAGATGCCTTCCCTCACCTGGCAGTGCACCATCAGGAGCTCGAGCACTGCGTCACCCCGGGCCTTCACGAAGGGGAGTTCTTCCTGTTCAGGGCTCTGCTCTTTGGCTACAAGACCGCACCCTTGCTGTGGTCCCGGGTTGCCGCTTGGTTGGGACGAATGATACAAGCGTGCGTGCCATTGCACGAGGGAAGGCACCAGATCTACCTGGACGACTCCTTGTGGCTCCTGCAGGGAACGCTACAGAGGAGGACCGAAGTCCTGGCCTTTGTGCTCTACACGATGGCAGCTTTGGGATTCAACCTCTCTATCAGGAAGGGAGAGAGAAGATCAAGGGTGACCTGGTCAGGAATTGAGTTCCACCTGGGCGACAACCACGTGTTGCTGACCTTGCCGGAGAAGTTCATCAACGACCTCCAGGAGAAAGTGAAGGCGTGGGATTCCAAAGGAATGGCTTCTCTTAAGGAGTTGAGAGCCATCTGTGGGAAGCTCTCGTGGTTGGCAGGGGTACTGCCCAGGACCCGCTGGATGCTCCGTGTGTTCTACGCGGTATTAGCGGGAAGAGAAGCCGAAGTGAAACAGGGCTTGGAAGAGAGCAGGAGGAAAGCCCGCGAGGACACCAGGTCCAAAGAACACTTGTTTGTGGTCAAGCGTTTGGAAGGGGCAAGGCAAGCGTTGATTGAATACCTCAACGTGACGAAGGAGAGGCCGACAAGGAAGATCTCTTTGACAACAAGAGACAAGGCAAAGGTGACCATCACGACGGACGCGTCACCCGAAGGGTTAGGAGCCGTCCTGATCGTGAACTCCCAGGTCATCGACGCCATTTCATCCCCAGTGACAGAACAGGATGCGAAGGACCTGGGGTTTGAATTAGGGTCCTCCGCGTCTCAAGGAATCGTGGAAGCCCTCGCAATGGTGGTGGCCCTGCACACCTGGGGAAACAAAATGGCGGGCATGGCGGTGGAGCTGACCATACAGGCCGACTCAGTGACGGCGCTAGCAATGGCGCAGAAGCAGTCAGCAGCCTCCCCAGCCATCAACTTCCTGGGAGCGACCTTGGGCATCCTGCTGGAAAAGGCCAAGGTGGAGGAGATGAAACTCGTGCACATCCCAGGAGCGGCTAACAAGACCGCCGACTACCTGAGCAGACCTTCAAAATGGAAGGGGACCCCCAGGCCGCCGGAACTTGGTGATGTAAAGGTGACCGAGGTGGGGCCTAGGGGTCAAGATTTCTATCAGTTGGCACCACCTGGACGCAAACCGGACTTGTGGGGAGCCTCTGAAGGCGAGGAAGGTCTCGGACCCTGGTACTCACTTTTCAAATGACATGTGAAAAGGAGCAGAAGCCAGGGTGAGACGTTGAAGTTAAGGAAATTTGGGAGGAAAGGGAACCCGACTTGACCTGTTTTGCTGCCCCTTTTTCTCCCGGCCTCCTTGCTTGTTGTTCGTTTTTTGGCTAATAAAAGGGTGTCCGTCTGCAGACGCTGGTTCAAAATGGATGCCACCAGCTCGAACTTAGGCCTCGCAATCCAATGGCTAGCCCTGACGGGCCTGGCGGTGCACCTGTGGGCCTTGGGATGGGGCTTATGGGCTTGCTGCAGGCGAAGAGAGGTGTGTCCTTTCGCCCCATCAACGAGGGTGGAGGCGGGACGAATGTGGGCCTGGAGGCAACAACACCCGCGAGCTCCCTCACCTCCTTGCTACGAAGGCCCGCGGCGGCGCCAGAGCGGTGGTCAGGGTCTGGCGGGCCTGATACGTTGGCAAGACCCAGCACCAGACAACGTGGTCGTGAAGGGCAAGAAGGGCTCGAAGGGACAGAAGGGAGCAGGCCGTTAAAACGACCAAAATCCTTTGCTGAACTACGAAACAAGGGCTCCACCAACAACAGCAATGCTACGTTCGGCAGACTCAAGAGGGAATCGTTCACCGTGACCTATCCCGAGGAAGAAGATCCAGCATTCCCTCTTGCCGGCGGTGACGAAGGTTTGTGGCCCAGCCCGTTCAAGGACCTGGAATTCGAAGCAGGGGGCCTTCCTGTGGCTTCGGATAGCGGGAGAACTTCAGAATCAGCATTTAGCTCCATGGTCAAGATGGCAAACGACACCGCGGCAAAAGCAAAGGAGAAGCTTGCAGCAGTGGTGGAGTTCTGGAGTCCGAAAAGGGCGAAGCATGCAGACCCCCATCTACCCGAAGGTTTGTGGAACGACAACAACGAGCACCAACTTGAAAGGTGCCCATTGGGAGCCTCCGGCAAAGTGCAGGGGAAGGACCGCAAGTCCAAGAAACAAAAGGCGGCCAACATACTTGCCATCGCCCGGAGGGCCTCGATGTCGAGATCCACTACCACGGCCCTTGAAAGGGACTTTGCGTCGGTCACGTCCGTGAAGAGCAAGAAGGCCATCAGGAACACCGTCAACAGCGTCTTCAAGGAAGCGAGAGGTTCCTCCGGATTGCCCCCAACACCAGACAAAATCAAGCTGCTGGGGGGAATTTTGAAAGCGGCAGGCTACCGGGCCGCGGGAAACTACTTGGGGGAATACAAGCTGATGGCGATCGAAGGGGGTCACAGTTGGCCAGATCAATTGGAAAGAACCCTGAAGCTCACGAAGAGATCGTCAGCGAGAGCCGTCGGCCCCAAAAAGAAAGCGGCCGAGGTGGAGACATGCGAGGCGGGCGAGAATTTCGCAGTGAAAGTCTCCACAAGAGTGCCCAAGCAGGTCCCTTTGGCGGCGGAGCTCTTTGAGTTTGGAGTCATCTGGATGCTCAGGGAAGTCGAACTAGCCGCCATCAAAAAGGACCACATCCTCCTTGACTTCCAAAACAAGAAGGTTACTTTCACCCTGCCCGTTTCGAAGGGAGACCAAGAAGCATTACAAGTCAAGAGAGTACTCCAATGCCTTTGTGGGAGGAACATTTGCTTTATGAGCTGCCCCTTCTACACGTCGGTGAGGCTACTGGATCGCATGAGGGCTTTGGGGTTGAGCCGAGCGTGCATGAACAAGAAAGCAAAGCTCGCTTCCAAAGCACAACTGGTCGACGACTGGAGGCTCTTGTACGGCACGATGGTTTCGGGACACTCAGCTAGAAGAACCGGGGCCCTGAGGTACATTAGACAGGGCTGGGCGATAGCACAAGTGGCATACCTGGGCAGATGGAAATCGTCTGTCATCTACGAGTACGCGGCAGAAGCCCTGGAATCGCTCCCCGTGAACGTTGGCGAGACGTTCGGAGCCAAAAGGGAACTGACTGATGCAGGGCCCACGACCAGCAGCTTTGTGGGGGTGTCGAAGGAAGAAATCGAAGGGATCAAGAACTATCTGCTCGCAGAGCTGGAGGCGGCGAAGGTAAACCAGGAGCAAGCATTGCAAAACCTGGACAAGGAAGTGGACGAACTTCGGGCCAGGGACATCAGACTGGGGAACAAACTGCCCCCAGCAGTGCAATCCTTGCCAAGCAAGGTCGTCCACTACAACATGGACATCGCAAGTTGCAGCCCACCGAGAGCTTGGAGGACGGTGTGCGGATGGCACTATCACCGTTCCGATTTTGTCTTCGTCACGAAGGTGGATGGGCTGCACTTATGCAGAAAATGTTGGGACCTCGCGCGCGGCAATGGAGTGAGAGATGGCGAGGGTCCCAGCAGAAGCCAGCCTGGAAGAAAGGGGCCAAACTGACCTCTGAGTTTGGCAAAGCTGGCTGAAGCTGGTGTCCCTGGCTTTGGATCAAACCTCACCAACGCTGAAAAATAGGTCGCTACCTTTGCTGGTGATTGGTTGCGATGTCGAATTGTTTTGAAACAAAAAGCAGCACAGCGTATTTTTGTGCTGAACAATTTGACAAGCCAGGGGTTGGTGGGTGGAATGTTGCCTATCAACCTGGCCATTTTGGCTCAAGGGCCAGGCCATTTGTAACATTTTCTTTTCCCTCTGCCACCCACCCAGAAAATGAAGGTGGAGTGAGAGATGGCGAGGGTCCCAGCAGAAGCCAGCCTGGAAGAAAGGGGCCAAACTGACCTCTGAGTTTGGCAAAGCTGGCTGAAGCTGGTGTCCCTGGCTTTGGATCAAACCCCACCAACGCTGAAAAATAGGTCGCTACCTTTGCTGGTGATTGGTTGCGATGTCGAATTGTTTCAAGGTTCATTCCCATCATTCGTTTGTGTTGCAAGGACGTGCAATTTGTTGCAATTCATATATAGTAATAGTAATTTTGTACCATTGTCTATTTTCAAGAGGCACCCTGGAACATTCTAGGAGAATTCAGTGAAAGCTCAAATCTTACTGTTTACCCGCAGCCGTAGCCATAGAATATGGAATAATGAGGTTCAGTCCCAAACTCACGATGCTGTTTCAAGGCTTTTTCCATGTGTATTCCATGGACTATTCGTTTCAAGATGTCGATTGTTGTATGGCTCCTCCCTTGATTCATCAACAATCCAAGTGCAGCTACCTTTCTTGGTCCTCAAGATTTCTACGTGGGACGTTTCAGACCCCGTTCAGCCGAGCACGGCAGGCGGGACTTGGAAAGCGCATCAACATGATCATGCAGACCGTCTTTTTCAAGCTCAGCCAAGTTCTCAGAGCTTAATACATGCTTTGTTAATGTTGTGACAATAATCAAAGAGGCGTATCTTGATGAATTTGGGACCCCTCTAATTCACCAAAGAAGGATTTGTGTGTATAGGGTAGCCAGATTTTTGGTTTTTTTTGGACATGTCCGGCTTTGCTTGCGGTTGAACAACTAGATTTACCTTCGGAGCTTCACCGAGGTGCAGTGATGCCTTATGAAGAGGCGGTGGAGATGTTGAAGAAGAGCATCAAGAAGATGTATGGCAAGAAGGCTGAGTAAATCTGAGCACATACATGATACGTCTCTGAAATATGATGATACATGATGATGCATGCCTTTCTATGCTGATCTTTTTCAAGGGCAATGGTGGAGCTTGTTTCCAGCCATTGGCTAAGATGTATGTTGCGTGATGAGCAGAAGTCATGGTGTAAGGGGAAAATGATGAAACATGCTCAAAAAGCTTCCCTTGGGAATTGCCCCACTAGCTCCCATTCCCGTGATTCATGCGAATCGCTTCCAGAATAAGGGTCATCCTGAAGCTCCTAAAAGGGTATTTGTCAAACCACAGTACCCTACTTATCCCCAAAATGAACAGAATTGCCAACTATTTCACAGTATTTCACAGAATCCTCACTTCCCCAATGTTTGCAGCTGCCTTTGGCACCATCTGGCACCATCTGGCACCATCTGGCACCATCTGGCACCATCTGGCATTTGTCGCTCAGGGTGACAAGGTGGTGAAGATGAACATCGACGGCGTGGATGCCTCCATTGAGGGCATCGTGCAGTGCGACGTGCCCAGTTCTTGGGCCTCACTGAAGGTGGACAGTGAGGCGCTGGCGAAGATGGGGAAGATGGGGAAGATGTCAATGGAGATTTTTTCCGGAAAATGATGATAGATTCCGATAGATCATGAGAAATTATGGGAGTTTGTGATACACAACTTTCAGACAAACCCATTTCATGGGCAGCTTCTGGTTTTAAATTAGATCATGTGTCGTTGGATGGGAAAATTCTGGAGCGTCCTCGAAATGGCAGCCGTTAGCAGGCGACAGATACCAAGAAGCAGAAGGTGGCCTATGGCAAGGGGCCAAGGATGTTCCCGGAGGTGCAAGATGCGGACCAGTTTGCCAAACAAGTCCAGGCGCCCTGCAACAACCTCGATGGCAACGCACTGCCAGTGAGTGCCTTCGTGCCCGGTGGGCGAGTGCCATGCGGTACAAGTCAGTACGAGAAACGTGGTATTGCCATCAACGTGCCCAAGGTTGACATGGACAAGTGCACTCAGTGCAACAAGTGCAGTCTCATCTGCCCCCATGCGGCAGTGCGACCATTCCTGGCCACCGGACAAGAGCTCGCAAAGGCACCAGCAGCTTTCAAGGATGGCAGCCGTTCCGCAATCGGAGGTGGTGTCTTGGACAACTACCAGTACCGCATCCAGGTCTCCCCATGGGATTGCACAGGCTGTGAATTGTGTGTCCGCATTTGCCCTGCTGATGCATTGACGTTGGGACCTGCAGAGAAGGTCATTCAGGAAGAGGAAACCAATTGGAACTTCGCAGTGACCCTCCCAGATCGTGGTGATGAGATTGACAAGACCACCGTGAAGGGCTCCCAGTTCCAGAAGCCGTATCTCGAGTTCAGCGGCGCCTGTGAAGGATGTGGTGAGACTCCTCATGTGAAGCTCATGACTCAGCTTTTTGGTGATCGACTCGTCATCGCCAACGCGACAGGCTGGAACGTCAAAGTTCGAATATTTGATCCAATCGTGAAGAGTGTTTATTTTTCTCTAACTCTCCTCTGGAATTTCAATTTCTTTCTGGATTGTCGTTTTAAATTACTTCCAGTGGCTCTGTTTTTTCGATGTTCGGTTTGATTCGCCTTTCAGCTCGCAGAAGTTGCAGGCTGCTCCTCCATCTGGGGTGGCTCCAATCCGTCCTTCCCCTACACGACCAACACCAAGGGCGAGGGCCCTGCTTGGGCCAACTCGCTCTTCGAAGACAATGCCGAGTTCGGCTTCGGCATGCGCAAGGCCATTGATGCAAATGACCCAACCTCATGGCGAAACTTGTACGAGGGTCAAAATTACTTTTTGACATTTGGAACCTAAGCCATGTTTGGCCACCAAGACTGGCAGCTGACTTCAACAGCTCAGTTGTGCTAGGCGTTCAAACAGCGTCGCGACTACCTGGCCCTCCAAGTGGAGGTCCCAGAGGGGCATTTGATTTTCACCGGAACACTTTGGCCCCTTGGGGTTGGGATTTTTCTTGAGAAAGTCCCTTAAATGGTTAAATGGTTTTAATCCCATTGAAATCCCAGGGAAAGGACATGTTGAATGAGTTTCCATCATTGAATCCCATTGAATCGTAGCATTAAATCCCATTAAATCATGAAATCACCACTCAATCAACATCTCCCATCATTTTTCCCAGTTTTTCCAATCAAATCATATATTAATCAGCCACGAGTCCCATCATTTCAGCCATATTCCCCATCAACTGCTCCGCCAGGACGCTCTGAACGACGAAGCCGTGAAGATGTCCGAGGAACTGCGGGCGGCCTTGAAGCAGTTCTCGCTGATGCGCAAGGACCGATTTTTCTGCGGAAGTGTTGGGAATATCTTGGAGAAATGCAGGGAAAATGGGGATTTCCATGGTGATTTCACTTTTATAAGAAAGAGAGTCAGAGAGAGACACATGATGATTTTGGAGAAATTTGGGATGCTAGATGGGATCAAAAGCTGTGAGCTGCGGTATTGATGGGATTTAATGGGGATGTTTGATGGTGTGTAATAGGATATTTGGTACGTATCTGCAACACTAGATATGTGTATATGAACACTATGAAGGTCTCTGTAAATGGAGCACCCCAAAATCATCCAAAGTTTCAAATCATGGTCATTTTTAATAAGGAAACCGATGGTTTTGGAGTACCCCAATTTTGGGAAGCACCTGTTTGATCCTGAACTTGAGCTGCAACAACTGGTCAGCACAACCATTAAGTGAGAAGTGGTCTCCAAATGTATTTGATGAGCGACAGAAGGAAGAGGCTACGTCTCCGTTTTTTGCGTAATTCAAGTTACCAGCTAAAAACTATGGAGCCGTGTTTTAACTTTAGCCCAAAGCCATATTTACCTTTGCTCAGTCGGTGTGCCCACCATGGAAAGCCCTCCTGGTTTGACATTTGCCGTGTCACAACAGGAGCAGATGCACGATTTGTTGCTGCCCAAGGGTCGCAGTATCTCGACCGTGGGGTATGATTTTGATGGTTGCGATGAGATGCCATGAGAAGCGAGAGAAAGTCGACCGTCAGTAGAATTGTTTTTTTTTTTTCCTGGCAAAGATGATGACACTGTAAAACAATTGTTTGGAGGTAAGATCTGCAGGAACTCCCCAAAAAGTTGGTGTGAAAGAACGGATGTTTTCTGTACATTTTCCTTTCCTCTAAACCCATTGAAACTGGGACCATTGGATTGCTACCTTCGTCTTGGTCAGCTGACCAAGGCTAGGAGACCTACGACCAGTACCTCCTTGTTTGGATGTCTATTTCTAGGGGATGAACTGAAATCTTCAGATGAAGGTCATACCGAGTCATACCGTCATGTTGTGTCCGTGAATTTAGGCCTCTACCACAGCATCATGGAGAAACTCGTGCCGCTGCTGGAGAAGGAGAAACGCGACGCTTTAGCATTGATCAAACTTTCTGGTGCTTTTTTGTGAGACATCAAACTTAGAATTTTCGTGCATTTGATTTTGATGTTCGCGCGGCAACCTGAATCACTGCAAACCAGCAATACATGTCACCTCAAACACTACAAGTCAAGGAAAATTGGTTTATGAAGGTGAATATCAGTGGATGCGCAGCGGCTCCTCTTTATCGCATTTGACTTTGGGTATTGCAGGCCAAAACACGGTAGCTGTTTCATGGCATGGCACGGGGTACCAACCACCAGTGTGAATTGGGATCCCGTGTGATGATAACCAGCCATAGACGAAACTTCTGCAGGAGAAGGGTGTCCATCCCAAGATCCAGAAACTCTACGAGTTGTTTCTTGGATGGAGTCATGCGGGAATATAGGAGAGATGCGTTGCCGACCTAGCGATGTTTGCTCTCGTAGAAACAAAAGACAACAGAGACATAGTCCGGCGTAGTCTTGAGACGAAACTGATGCAAGAGTTGCTGTGGCTGAGGGAAGACATGTTCGGCCGCAGCAGCTTCTGGATTGTTGGCGGAGACGGCTGGGCCTACGACATCGGCTATGGTGGCTTGGACCACGTCATTGCCAGTGAGGAACATGTGAACATCTTGGTGCTTGACACCGAGATGTACAGCAACACTGGTGGACAGGCATCCAAAGCAACACCAAAGGGAGCCATGGCAAAGTTCGCTGAGGGTGGAAAGCTGACGCAGAAGAAGGACATGGGACAGTTGGCCATGACCTACAAGAACGTCTACGTGGCCAGCATTTGCGTTCATGTCAACCCACAGCAAGCAGTCCGCGCTATGATTGAGGCTGATGCCTATCCGGGACCAAGCATCATCCTTGCATACAGCCCATGCATCAGTCAAGGTTTCCCCATGGCCGAGTCCATTCAGCACTGCCAGATGGCAGTGGACAGCGGCTACTGGCCTCTTTACCGATACAACCCGGAGTTGTCAGCGCAGGGCAACAATCCGTTCCAGCTCGATAGCCGCAAGATCAAGGGCGATCTGTTCAAGTTCCTTGCCAAGGAACCAACCTGATGGAGCTGACCTGTGATGTGAGATGAATACCCTTTGGTGATTTATCCGTTTGCCGTCATTGCCAGGTGATTTATAAATCATGGTGCGTCATTCGTTCAGTCTTGTGACCTGAAAATCATTGACCACAAGGTGCCCCCATAGCTAGAGGCGCCATAGACGAAGCAGCCCATTTCACGGAAACGACGAAGCAGCCTGAACCCCAAATGAAGAGATACACATAGATACTTTCTACCAACTTTAAGAGTTGCTGAACTTTCCACTGAGCAGGTGAAGTTGTGAGAATTGTTTTGACTATGGCATGAACACTTTGGTGAACAATTACTGTTGGAGGCTTGGAGGTTTCACAAAATCAGGGTTTGACAGGGCTTCGTTGGGATTGCACTGTACACAAATCCCAGCATACTACCGCCTCCAAATTTTTCATTTTAAAGTCTGGCAGGAGAACCGGTTTGCAGCCGTGATGCGTCGCGATCCAAAACATGCAGAAGAGCTGGACAACAAGCTGCAAGAGAACGTCGTTCAGAAGAACCATTTGCTTCAGGTTTTGAACAAAGAGGACTTGGAGGGCCAATTCAGCAAGCTGGTGGAAGGCCTTTCAGATGCCAAGAGCTCTGGAGATTCCATCACTGTGTTGTACGGCAGTGAGAGTGGCAATGCCGAGGAGCAGGCTAAAAATCTGATGCAAGATTTGATTGCTCGTGGTTTGAAGGCGACGGTGAGCTCGCTGGATGACTTTGAATTTGAGGAGCTGCCCAATCAGAAGATCATGATTTTGGTCGTCTCCACCTGTGGATTGGGAGAGTACCCAGCCAACTGCAAGCAGACTTGGCTGAAGCTGCAGTCGGCAGACTTGCCAATGTCTTGGCTGTCAGGTGTGAAGTTCTGCGTCTTTGGCTTGGGCGACTCAACCTACAGCCAGTTCTGTGTGGCTGCAGCAGGCTTTGATACGCGCTTGGGTGAGCTTGGTGGTCAGCGCATGCTCAAGCGCGGTGTGGGAGACGACCGTGACGAGGATCGCTACTACACTGGATGGGAAGCCTGGTTGCCAGAGCTTTGGAAGGTCCTCGGAGCCCCAGCCCTGCCACTGAGCCAGGACATTCCAGCCCCATCCTACAGAGTTGATGCCTCTCCAGGTACTCTGGGAAAGCCACCTGTAAGTGACGACGACATCATCCCACCTGGTGCCAACCGACTCACTTTGCTCACGAACAACGTGCTGACTGGTGATGCCAAGTATGATCGAGACATTCGTCACTATGAATTTAAGATCGAGGGCACCAACGTATCTTACAAGACTGGTGAAAGTCTGGCCATCTGGCCGCGCAACCCAGAGGACAAGGTCTTGGAATTCTGTCAAATGATGGGCTTTGACCCTGCGCAGAACCTGAGAGTCCTTCCTTTGGACGGAGCCCGCAACTGGTGCCCTACAGAGCTGAGTGTGCGACAGCTTTTCTCCCATGTGCTTGATATTTTCGGAAAGCCGAACCGAAAGTTCTACCAGACTCTTGCACTCTTTGCAAAGGACGAGGGAGAAAAGAAGCAGCTGCAAAGCATTGTCGAGAATAGCAAGGAGGGAGCCGCCCTCTATCGCGACCTGACCCAAGACTTCTATCACCATGCAGATGTGCTCAAGAAGTTCCCAAGCGCCCGACCTCCCATCGAGCACTTGTTGCAGATGATGCCGGTGTTGAAACCCAGGAGCTACTCCATTGCCAGCTCTCCTTTGATGCATCCGGACAAGATCCAGCTCTGCGTGGTGCTGGTTGACTGGACAGTGGAGACCACCAAGGAGCTTCGATTGGGTGAATGCACAGGCCGGGATACTGCACTGATGCGTGTCATTTTTCCATGATTTTAGGTGCATGTAGGTCCGTAATTCAATTCAGCTGCAATCATATGAGATATATATATATATAGTATTATAATTATAATGTATTATTATAGTATATATGATATACTATGAGTATTATATTGCAGATCTTATGTAGATTTGAAACATCTTGAAACCATTAACAGCTCATTAGCACCTGATTAGTAGCTCATTACTGTAGCAGCTCATTAGCAGGCATCCGCAATATAATACATACATACCAATAATACTAATAACAAACAGACTAAGATTCATCATAATCATAATCAATGGTTTTAACTACTAACGCCCCCAGAAAATAATATGGTTTGCTAATAATAATAATAACAACAATAACTAACCACCACTAACGGTCCCCATCCCCATCTTAGTACTAATTATCCCCCATGATAATCATCATGATATGTATCTAATCATCCCCAATGATAATTGTCCCCATTAGCTCATTTCCATTCCCAACAAAAACAACAAGACTTTACCCAGCAGATGCCCTTTGCGGCGGTGCAGGCTACATGCGACAGCAGAAGCCCGGAGCGCAGATCATGTGCGCAGTTCGCTCCAGTGCCATTGTATTGCCAAAGGCGTGGAAGGGGCGTTGGCACCCCAAATCATCCAAGTCATGAACGATCAGTTTAGTAAACCCATCGTGACGATTGGGGATCCCCCATTTTAAGACACCCCCATGTGGGTTTATGGGAGTATATCTATAGTTATGAGGATTATACACCAACTTATAACTTTCAATTTTCCACCTGGTATCCAGAAATATCCAGAAACCAGTGCCCGATGATTTAAAGAACACATTGAGCACGCTGGGAGGAGCCTGAAAAGCCGGTGATTATGGCTGGCATGGGTACTGGTTTGGCTCCATGGCGGGCAGTCACCCAGGACCGGGACACAAAAAACCAGTCGATTGTGACTAGTAAGTAAGTCCCCATTCGGGTTATCCATGGTTATCCTATATACACCTGTGTTAATCACGAAATAACAATGGTTATTGATTTATTGATCACTTTGAGATAAATAATCAGATGTTGACGTCAGGAGCGCGTGATGCAAGCGAGACAGGGCATCAAAGTTGGCAAGTGCATGCTCTTCTTTGGAGCCCGATACAAGCAGGACCGGTGGGTGCGGAAGTCGGCTGAGGAGTGCTTTTTGGATACACGGCATGTTCCCATGAAATCAGGACCTTTTTGAATGGTTTTCAGGGAAACTGCATAGACTTTACCATATATGTCATGGCAATTTCATGGCAATTTCATGGCAATTTCGGATGATTTTGGAAGCTGTCCCATGGCTTTTATATCTTTTATACCCCAGGAGTGGCTCTACCGGGAAGAATTTGAGAAGTATGAGAAGGAAGGCGTTTTGCAGATGCACACAGCCTTCTCCCGAGAGCAGGCGACTCCAGCTGGCCATGTAGGATGTTGCCATGAGCGAACAAGTGCCAAATGTATTGAAAGGTGTGGTTTGTGTGTTTGTGTATGCCCATGTACTTGGCTGTTTGTTGGCGTTAATTTAAAAGGAACTGACCAGTGTAGATAGTCGAGCGCTCTTCAAGTGCTGCCATCTAGAACATGAGACTAGCGAGTTGAGATGCGAGTTGGAACTAGATGGTGTGATCATCGACATCAGCTGAATGCTTCCAACCCTGCAAATCGTTTCAACAAATCACCACTTCAATCCCATCTTTTCTTCATAGTCTGATTCATAATAATTCCCTCCCAACATCTCCCAACATGTTCAATACGGGACCCAGAAAAGAAACACTGTCTGTAAAGCAATGTCATAAACCACCCTAATATGGATTGATGGTTTATACTATACCTTCCGTCTATGGTAAATTTGGGGATGGTGGACCCTGTTGCGAAGGCGAGAAAGATCTATGTGCAGCACCGGATCGTTGAGGCGGTTCTTCACTATTGCTGTCCAGCATTGTTGGGGCATTTTCCTTTGGATGTGCATGCTAGTTTGTAAGTTGTTCAGGATCATGGTCGAAAACATATATTGGTATATAAATATATATATATAATTATATATACATACTTTCAGAGCTCAGAGAATTTGAAAACAAAACGTATAAGATACAAATTATAATATAATATATATACATACGTACATATATATATATACACGATATATATATATATATACACGATATATATATATATAAGATATATATATATATATAACATATAATTTATAATATAGAATCTATGATCTATAATCGCTATGTAATCTATAATACATACATATACATGCGTACATATATATATATATATATATACCTACCGCATTGCCAGCGCCAGGCTGGCCCGGATGTGGCCGAGAGGATGCTGAACCAGGGAGGCCACTTCTACGTCTGCGGCTCTGCGCGACAAGTGCCGGAAGATATCTACACGGCGATGAAGGAGGTGAGATTTCGGTGGAATTTCTTGGGCTGTTTTTGGTGGTAAAGGTAACCATAGATAGATGCCATAGCTCACCCATTTCTAGATGGGATAATCCATTTAGGGGACTTCCCAGAGGGATTTGGTAAAGGTAACCATAGTAGCCTCTGGTCAATGAGCAGTTCGACCCTGAAAATCACCCATTTTTGGTGGAAACTCATCTCGAAAAATGGCAGGGTCTATGTTAATTTACTGGAGGGTAACCGCAACATAGTAGCCATAATAGCCATAGTTAGCCCATAATTAGAGCCATCAGAGGGTGACAATCGACGGGCTATTTTGATGAGAAAATGAGGTTTGACCCATGGGTTTTAACACTAAAATAGTCGATAAAATAGTCCAATTCTGGATGATTTGGGGGTACCATTTTGAGATATACCCATATGGGGATTATGGGGTACCAATAAATCATAGTCAATCCAGAAATGGCATGTCATTTTGAGAATTAGACTTTCCATTTGGGCGGTCCAATACGTTTGGCCCATACGTAAGTCTGTGGACTTCAGCAACGGGCCTGTGCTTCTGCTTGGTGGTTTTAATCCTTGACAGCTGTTTTGTGGCAAGTTCATCATCTACTGGGGATGATGAATGAGGTTTTACTCTTGGGATAGTTCAAGGGAGATAGTTCAAGACCATCAGGATAGTATTTCGTGCCATGCCCCCATGGCCATCGAAAAACATGCCATGGCCCTAGCTTTCGTGCAGGTCATGATGGCCAACCAAAGATGTGGCGAGGAAGACGCGGAAGCGATCCTGTCGAATTTGAAGATGGAGGGACGTTTCATGGCCTTGTGGGCTGACGTGGCGTCCAATGGATGCCAGGGGAGCCAGGGCAATTTTTTTGGGACAATCCAACGAAAAATCCAACTGCGGCTGCGGGTCCAGAGTGGCTGTGTAGTTTAGTGCATACACACAAACACAGGAGCCTATTATTCTGCCCATTATAGAACAAGTCTATGGATATTTACGGTACATGGTTCATCTAAGGTCTGTTGTTTTTTTTCGTCCATGTGAAAACACTCAGGCTACACCGTGGAGGCTTGGTCGTGAGCCCGTGAGGCTTGGTCGTGAGGTGGGTCAGTGACAAAGGCTCACTCCAAGAAATACAGCTGCTTGAAAAATCTTTCAAGACTCGGGGCGAACTTTAAAGTCTGAAATCATTAAATTTATTACATGTGATTATGATATTGTTAAAAGATCTTCAGTTATAAGAAGACCATTATTTTTCGCCGCCTTTGGATCGTTTTCTTGTTCCGAGCTCCTGTTGAGGAAAGTTTGACTGGCTCACAGGGGTCTCTGTCCATTTCGTCCCTTGGGGACGGCACGTGAGCCGGCGAGAGCCGCGCAGTGCCATAGGAACTCAGCAATAGGGCCACTCCCAGAAGTCCAGGATTGCACACTTGACAAATGGTAATAAACAAATACACAATAAAAAGAGACACATGGTAACAAGATGATAAACAGATTAAACAGTAAAACGAGTCTCTTTACTGTGAAAAAGAAGTTTTTCATTTACAAGAGTCCTGTTCAACGAATTCCACAGCACCAGCTTCAGAACAAGATGCAACTTCGGAGTGGCGCTGATGCAAGGGTTGATCGACCTGCACCCCTGCCGGGTGATGGAAAAGGAGAGAAGGGTTTGTTCTGGTGGTGTGAAAGAGTCCTTGTCCTTGATGGTGGCAGAGGAAAATGTGAGACAGGCCATAAATTTCATACATTCATATGCCATTCACATGCTATCTTCGCATCTATTTCCTAGCAGTGCAGGGTATGGAGACACACATTTTTCCGCAGACTTGACAGGTCGCAGAGCTTTGAATTGCTGAGCCTCATGGCATGGCTGTAGCGTTTCAAGATCAAGTGACCTTTCGCCCATAGGCCTATAGCTTCCGCGGTGCCGGCGCACGAGACGTGATATTTCGTGATGGCTCTCCGCGGACAGCACGGAGCTAAGAGGGGACCATGCCACCACGTTCCTGTAGTTCACAAAGCAGGGCTCCATGCTATTTCGGCATTTCATAGAACGAGTGCAGTGGCCTAAGCATCTGACCATGTTATTCTGACATATTTTTGTTAGGACATCAACATCAACAAAGATTTGCTAAGGACCAGCCCTTTTGGCCCATACGGCGGTCTATGCCTTCAGTTCCTGATGCGCGGTCAGGAGCGTCAGGAGGAGACCGTGGAACGTTTGGAGCCACTTGGAGCAGGGTCTGGTGCTGCTGACATCGAGTACGAGCAGTTCATGAAGGCCAAGGAGGTTCAGAGGGCCATGTTCCAGGCCAGGCTACTGCTGAAACAGCATAGACTGGGTCCTGATGCTTCAATTTTTCACAACTATAGCAGTATAGCAATCCCCTCCACTGACGTTTGCTTGATGTTTGATGCCATTGGTTTTATCGTTTCTGTGAGCATCCCTGGTTTCAGTACACTATTTCTATTCCTTTTTTGGGTAGGCTGAGAGGGGAGGGGACCAAAAAAGACAAAAACACACAGATTTGGCCAAGAGGAGCTTCGGAGTTGCGCTCAAGATGTAGGTTGGATGTAGGACGTATTTCAATATATTGATGCTCACTCTATCAAAAGAAGCTTACGGCCCTTATGTGCACAGAAAGAGGTCTTCTTCAAACAAATTCTTGATCTTCCTTGAACAAATCTGCAGCATGAAGGAAGATCACAGCATGTCTTCCTAGAATTCTGGCCTAGCAGTACTTCTAGTTGCCATCAGTACAAACAACTACTTTCCTATACTTTCCTTGTGTTTTGCAATGTAATCTTAGCATGCAATTGTCTTCGTAAATACTTGTCATGAGCTCGCCATGGCATGAAACCAATTGTCATGTCTTCGTAATCTTTCTTTCAATACGATTGCTTCTCGATAATAAAGAACCAAATTTACAACTGTTGGAATCAATTCTGTGCTTCATGCTCTTTTGTGCTTCATTGTTCATATTCTCCATTATTCTCCTTCATTTCCAAAACAAGGCAGGTATGTCTAGGGCCTCAGAGTACCGCTGGCATGTGGCAACATCTGCAACTCTTGACCGATACGTAACATTGAAGCAAAGACTCTGTGGCAAAGGACAAGTTAGTGTCTAGAGTCTGAACTCTGTCTTGACAATACGGATGAGAAAACGCGACCGTTTTGTCCAGGCAGGCTGCATGAGATATTATCGAAGGAAGTTTAGAAGTCAAACTTCCGACAATATGGACAGATGAAAAGCAGAGCAGGGCAGAGGCAGAGAGAAGAGAAAGATCAGAAGAGAGAAGAGTAGAAGAGAAAGAGTAAGAAGAAAGAAGATGGAGATGCGCGAAAAGGCAGGAAAGTCGCGATTCACTGTGTTTTTCCAATGATTTGTGGCTCCGGAGGGTCGAAAAGTAGGCTTGCTAAAGCGGCGGGTGCGGAGCCAGCTGGCCAGAGGAGAGATGAAAAATTGCACGCCGTTGTGGCGCGAAGCACATTTCCAAGTCAAAACGCACAAAACACACCACGTTCGGACCACTTTTGGAAGTTGAGATGTTGAAAAAGTGCACGCCGTTGTGGCGCGAAGCACACTTCCAAGTCAAAATGCACAAAGCACACCAGGTGCGGACCACTTTTGGCACTTGAGATGTCGAAAAAGTGCACGCCGTTGTGGCGCGAAGCACATTTCCAAGTCAAAATGCACAAAGCACACCACGTTCGGGCCACTTTTGGAAGTTGAGATGTCGCAAAAGTGCACGCCGTTGTGGCGCGAAGCACATTTCGAAGTCAAAATGTACAAAGCACACCAGCTTCAGACCACTTTTGGAAGTTGAGATGTCGAAAAAGTGCACGCCGCTGTGGCGCGAAGCACATTTCCAAGTCAAAATGTTAAAAACACTAGGGGTTCGGACCACTTTTGGACGTTCAGATTTCGTTTCGCGTGGCAGGCGCAAGGGATTGTGCACCGTGTCAAAAGTGAGAAAAACGTGAGGGTTTTGTAGCATTTCCAAAAACGATGCAAAGATGCATTTCGCCTGGCAGGCGCAGTACTAGAGACATGTTCATCAGAGATGTTAGGAGGTCAGGGCGCTGATTTCCTGAGAGGGGTTGCATTTTGGAGCATCAGATATGTCGATTTCCTCAGATGATTTTGCGTGACAGGTGCAGCACTTCGTATGACCTGGCATCTATTTTTCGTGGCAGGCGCAGTACTTTCGACAGGTGGAATGGAAAAATCGCACAACGCATTGGTACGAGGCCGTCAGCGCTGCACTCAACTTTCCATTTTTGAAGGAAGTCTCGCAGAATTGCTTCGTTTTTGATGTTGTCAAGTTTAAAAATTGAAGAAGTCTCGCAGAATTGCTTCGTTTTGGATGTTCTCAAGTTTAAAAATTGAGGAAGTCTCGCAGAATTGCTTCGTTTTGGATGTCGTCAACATTGAAAAATGAAGAAGTCTCGCAGAATTGCTTCGTTTTTGATGTTGTCAATTTTGAAAAATGAGGAAGTCACGCAGAATTGCTGCGTTTTTGATGTCGTCAACTTTGAAAATGAAGAAGTCTCGCAGAATAGTTCGGTTTTCAAGCTTGCAGATAGACAGGTAGATAGATAGACAGACAGACAGACCGAGAGATAGATAGATAGACTTAGATAGATGGATAGATAGATAGATGGAGAGATAGATAGATGGATAGATGGATAGATGGATAGATGGATAGATGGATAGATGGATAGATGGATAGATAGATAGATAGATAGATAGATAGATGGACAGATAGACAGATAGATAAATAGTCAGAGAGACAGCTAGAGAAATAGATGGAGAGATAGACAGATAGATACATAGACACATAGACAGATACTTAGATACCAAGACAGATAGATAAATAGATGGGTAGAGACATAGACAGATAAACAGATAGACAGATAGACAGACAGAGAGAGAGAGAGATATATATATATAGAAAGAATTTGATCGATAGATAGACAAATAGACAGATAGATAGAGAGATAGTTTGATCGATAGATGGATAGATAGATTCATAGCTAGACAGACATATAGATAGATAGATCGATAGATAGATCGATAGATAAACGTGGGGTGCAGCAGGGAGGAGCTCCACACTAGTATTGGAATCCCTTTTTTTCTATTTTGCTGCCGCTGTTGCATCCGATGCTGGGTTGTGTCGGTGGATTGTAGAAAAGGCACGGGGGATAATTTATGTTTCTTGGAAGCACATCGCGGCGCTTGCTGGATGTCTGGGGTGACAAGCAGTCAGGTAGGTAGTTAGATAGGCAGAGAAAAAAAGAGAAAAAGAGGAGACCTCAACCACCTTTCGGTCCATCAGCGGCTTCGCTCTGCCATCCCTGATTCGCAACAACAAACTTCTCCTATAGGTTTCCTATTTTTGAAACTTCCGCCACCGCCTTGTGCGGTACTACTGGTATTCACTTACGGATACTTACGGTGTCTGCTGCACCGTTGGCTTTCTCATATCGAAACATGTCTACAGCGCTTTCTTATTGCGCATGCATTTCGCGCTAGATCAACATCTAGCAAGATGTTCATTGTGCAAAAAGATAGAAAAATAGACAGTCAGATACAGATTTGGCCGGAACATGTGGTGCAAACAATGTGACCAGTCGCGATTTCCATCAAGTCGTCGCAATGGAACCCATGTTTTTTCATGTAGGGAGACACACAGAGGCAGATATAGATAGGAAGGCAGAAGGGAGAAAAGGAACTCAAATTCAGGTGGCAAAGAGCATTTGACATCGTCTTTTTTGGGCGCTGAGGACGGGGGCCTCTATCATATTCTATAAATAATAATGTATAATAATAGTTAGTTGGTCTGCTCAGCCTAGATTCTTCAGAAATTGCTGAAGTAGCTTCATGAATAGTAATATTTCATATTTTTGAAATGCGGCTTTACTTTAAACTAACTTTCCGTCTTTTTTTAAACTTAAGAGAATATCAGCAAAAAAAATCATCAAATCTCGAGTGATTTGAATCAGGACTTATGAGCGCTCGGCATTTGCCCTTTGCAACAAGGTCCTACACCATTTCAATTTTATGACATCATCAAACCCCATCAAGGCCTCAATTCAGATTTTCTGACTTCGGGGCACCACAAGTGACGTTTAGGCGCGTTGGCGCCTCATGTCTGCAAATCATGGAATTGTTGACCCATTCCAGGCAGAGAACAAGACCATTGTGCACCAATGTGCCGACACCGACATCATCGAAGCCGCTGAGGGATCTGTGGCATGTATCGATGGGAACCAGGCCGCAGCTCACGTTGCCTACGCCTTCAGTGACTGCGCCTTCATTTATCCCATCACGCCCAGTTCTCCCATGGGAGAGATGGTGGATGAGTGGTCCGCGCAAGGCAAAGCGGCCAAGGGTCAAGAGTTGGGATTTTCTGACGATTTCGACCACTAGGTCACTCTTGTGTGCAACCTGCATTAACACTGACTTTCAGATGGGTAGGTTTGTGCAGACTCCATCCTCATGTTCGCCCAAAAAGTATCCTAAGTCCTGAAGTCCCAAATTTATCTCAGCTCACATGTTTTCACAATGATGGCGCCAGGCCTCATCAACTGCTACGGCCAGAAGCTGAGCGTCACCGAGATGCAGAGTGAAGCTGGTGCCGCTGGCGCCTTGCACGGTGCCTTGAAGGCAGGCGCCTTCAGCACCACTTTCACCGCCAGCAACTTGGGCCTTGAAAGCGGCCAGGGATGGCCAGGAATGGCCAGGAATGGCCAGGAATGGCCAGGGGGTCAGGTGGTGGAGGTTTTTGTGGGTGGTACGGTGGTAGCAGTAGCTGCTTTGCTAAGAAAGAGGCGACAAGAGGCATGCGGGGAGGTGGTCTGAGGAGGTTGACTGAGTTGACTGTGCCTTGAAATCGGCTAGAGGTGGAGTGACTTCGGTGTGCCGTGACAGTTCCTCTCAGGTCAGGGCTTGCTGTTGATGATCCCGAACATGTACAAGATTGCGGGTGAGTTGCTCCCTTGCGTCATGCACGTGGCTGCTCGTGCGTTGGCAGGACAGGCGCTGTCCATCTTTGGAGATCACAGTGATGTCATGGCTTGTCGTTCAACGGGCTGGGCGCAGCTGGCTTCAGAATCTGTGGAGATGGCACAGGTCAATGCCATCGTGGCCCACCTTGTTTCAATGGAACGCCGAGTTCCCGTGCAGCACTTCTTTGATGGTTTCCGCACCAGTCACGAGGTGAACAAAGTCAAGTTGATTGACTACAACACCATGAAGACTTTTATCAATTGGGAGGCTGTCAAAGAGCATCACGATTTGGCCATGAACCCTCGGCATCCTCACGTCCAGGGCACTTCGCAAGGGCCTGACATCTTCTTCCAGTGCGTGGAGGCTGGCAACAGCTTCTATGATGGGTTGGCCGATCTTTTTGAAGAGAAGGGGAAGATGATTCAAGAGAAGACTGGTTTGCACTTCGCCCTCTACGCCTATGAAGGCCACCCCGAGGCAAAACACGTGATTGTGGTTATGGGCAGTGCAGCAGTGACTTGCGGAGAGACTGCCAGTTTCTTGTCCAAGCACAAGGGACAACGCGTGGGGGTGTTGAAGGTTCGTCTTTTCCGACCTTGGGACAGTTCCCGCTTTTTGGCAGCTTTGCCAACAACCACCGAGCGCATTTGCGTTCTGGACCGCACCAAAGAGCAGGGCTCGCAGGGTGAACCACTGCTTCTGGAGGTGTCTTCGATGTTGCATGCCAGCGCTCACTCCGAAATTGTGGTGATTGGAGGCCGCTATGGGCTTGGTTCCAAGGAGTTTACGCCCAACATGGTTCTCTCAATCTACGAAAATCTAGCCCAGGAGAGCCCCAAACCACGCTTCACTGTGGGCATCAACGATGACGTGACCTTCCTGTCGTTGCCAGTGGGCCCATGGCTCAACGTGCTTCCAGAAGGCACCACTGAGTGCATGTTCTATGGACTCGGAAGTGACGGAACCGTGGGTGCCAACAAGAGCGCAGTGAAGATGATTGCGATGGGCACGCAGCTTCATGCTCAGGCAGGACTTCTGCTGTGTCGTGAAATCTTTCAAGATAGCAACCAATTCATTATGTAACGATTCAGCCACTGAGACCTAGCACTCTTCAATTTGCCGCCCGTAATGGTGGACACACCTTTGTTGAAGCTTGAAACTGCATCCACTTCGGCACTCCCAGGCCTACTTCGAGTACGATGCCAAGAAAAGCGGCGGCGTGACCATCAGCCACTTGCGCTTTGGTCCCAAGCCCATCCATGCTCCCTACAATGTGCGCGCCGCGGACTACCTGGCTGTCCACAAGCAAAGCTACGTGAACAGCTATGTGGCTTGGCAAAATCCATTGGCAATCTTTCAGCCATCATGGAACATTCGTGACGAACTCCATGACGATTTCATATTATCAAAAACTTGATGAGCATCTGTGCAAGAAAGATATATCGTTGCGGTAACACGACACTTGCCTGAACTTGTCGATGACAGTAGATACAGTACATGATACTTCAACCGCGTGGCCAAAATACCTGTATCCAGTATCCACTTCACAAAAGAAACCACAACGACTAATAACCCATGATTGCCTGATGTCGGCCCCTGCTGGCTCCCGTGTCACAGCTGTTTAACCACGAGTCCGGCAGGTTGCAGTTCCCATATAACATAAAACTAGGCCGTTGACGTCTTCCCCATACAATACGATACCAATCCTATGTGGACAGGTGCCGGTGTAGTTCTAGATTGGGCCAGGACATGACACGGTACTTGAAGCAGAACGCCGTGTGCGTCATCAACTGCTCCTGGGACAAGAGTGAGTTGGAGAAGCAGCTGCCAGCCAAGATGCGCAAGGATTTGGCTGAGAAGCAGGCGCTGATGGCAAATGGCAGTGGGGCTATACCACAGACCTATTCCCAAATGTTTTTTTCTTCACATCATTCACATCCCAACAACAATTGGGGCCACAGTTTTGAGATGTCTTGAAACTAGAGTAGAAGGGTTTTGACCCAGTCTGACCAATTGCCATAGCATGTCAGGCCAAGCTCTTCATCATTGATGCCACCAAGATTGCGGTGAAGGTGGGTTTTTGCACCACGTCCAGAATGATAACAGGTGAGCATCAGCATTGGCAAACTCTTTTTTCCCCGGGGCTGTACACACACACACATGATCTTGGATTGACACTGTTTGGATCTGTTTGGCAATCCACATTTGCTGTGAAAACGCATCTCAAATGTCGAAAGGCATGTGGAGGATTGAGTGATCCCACATGTTTTAACATGCTTTTTCATGCTGTTGAGACAGGCGGGACTTGGAAAGCGCATCAACATGATCATGCAGACGGTCTTCTTCAAGCTCAGCGCATTACTCAGCTCTTCATTTTTTGCTTTTACATTGGATTTCTGATGCCGCCATCGTGTGACTCCCACAGGGCACAAACTGCTAGGTGTGCCATGTGCTTGCCAAACATTGGAAATCTTGCTGGCAAGCCCACAGATTCATGTCATTTATTGTAATTGTAAAGTATCATATTCATAAAATCCTATCTGATCCAATTTCGGGGTCCTGTAGAACACTGCTCAAAGCTGCTCTTCGAGTCAGGATCAAAGCCTTGTTCAGTCGGATGTCCCCCGTGGTTTTCAGGCGCAGTGATGCCTTATGAAGAGGCTGTGGAGATGTTGAAGAAGAGCATCAAGAAGATGTACGGCAAGAAGGCCGAGTGTCAACGCCTGATGATTCAAAAATTGACTGGGGGGTTCCATAGTCATGGGGGAATCCTAGCTGGATGGATGGTTATTATATGATGGAAGATACGAAAATAACATGGATGATTTAAGGGTACCCCAAAGTTCTGATTGGGTAGGTATCATGCTGGATCAATTTATGGGGATTGTCTTGTCCAAAAATCATTGAGACCTACCTGCAGTGCAGTGGTTCGAGTCAACCCGGCTGAGTGGGACAGAGATTCATGAAAGACACTGAGTGGGACAAGGCTTCGGGATTTCTATATTTTTTTGAACATCTTTTCCATCATATGAATCTACAACCCTTCTCCTGAAGTTTCCGGATCATCCTTGCCACTGCAGCATCAGGGCGACAAGGTGGTGAAGATGAACATCGATGGCGTGGATGCCTCCATTGAGGGCATTGTGCAGGTGGACATCCCTGCAGCCTGGGCCTCTTTGGACCTTGGCTCTGAGGCAGGGAGATCCATGAGGGAAGTCAGGGAGGTGTTTTGATCTTTGGATCCAGTGGTATATACGGTCATATATTTAAGCGCTTACGCGTGACAGCCGGCCAGGGGCCCAACTATGTTGGCCCATCTTGTGGCTATGTTGGCCTATGTTGGCCTCATGTTGACCCATGTTGAGCCAAAAGATCCGAAAAATGGGAACAGCAAAAAAAACGCTGTAAAACGCAGAGGGCAATGTGGGCCCATCTTGGGGCTATGTTGGCTCATCTTGGAGCTATGTTGGCCCATCTTGGGGCCATGTTGCTTGGGGCCATGTTGGCCCATCTTGGGGGCCCCTCCAGTGTTCAGGGGTCGGCGGGAGAGGGCGTAGCCCTTTAATCCGGCCAGGGGCCCCCTAAAAAATGTTAAAAACATTAGTTCAAAGAAGTTTTATAAATTCAAATTATAGCAGTATAACAACTCAATAATTATTTGCAAAAAAAAGATAACAACTAACCACAATTACCTCATTCATTCCACAAAATCATCACTACTAACCATATCATCATCTCATTCATTTTCATAAATCAAAACAACCTACAATCCCTATACCTCATCCATTTTATAGAAATCATCACAGTCAATACATCATCACCTCATCCATTCCATACCCAAAACAAAACAACCAAACAACAGACAAAAAAAACAAACCAAGCAAAGCGCAACATAAAAAACAAAACAATAGACAACAATACAGATACTTCCTTAGTCTTTAATAATCCTATCTTACAAACCCATAACTCTAATAATATTATCATAAAAATTATGTAAGTAGTAAATGACTTCAATAATTACTAATTCAAAATGAAATGCTTGTATTCCTATTATACTATCTTTATCATAGTCTTCATCTATATCTTCCTGTATTTCTTCAACTGCTTTATCTAATACATAATCTATGTTATCTTTATCTACATATTCATCAAAACCATTCATAAAATAAATCTCTCTTTAACTAAATTCATTTTCTCCATATTCCTTTTCTGGGAGTTTTGCCACTAATTGAACTTCAATATCAAGTTTAACTCTATAATTTACATCATCTTCTACTTCTTCATAAATTAAAAAATAATAATTTTTCTTTTTCTTCTGTTATTATGTCATCTATACTTTTTAAACTAAATGGCGCTCCCTCTCTCATAGCACAGTATTCAATGATATATATATATATATCTTTTTTCTTGATTTCAAATGTCTTGTTTTATTTCGTTTTTAGTTGCAGGAATGATGTGTTGATATTTTTGTTTTGGTTTCATTGCCGGAGCATTAAGTTCAGCCTCTTTTCTAGGAAAAGAGCAAAGCCCCGTGAGCGCCCCCAAAAGGGTCTGAAACCGGTCTGAAACCACTCTGAAACACCTTCCGGCTCACCATCTCAGAATCTTTGCTTCTTCGGTTACAGCATCATTGCTTTATTTCGTTTTTTAGTTGCAGGAATGATGTGTTGATTTTTTTGTTTTGGTTTCATGGCCGGAGCATTAAGTTCAGCCTCTTTTCTAGGAAAAGAGCAAAGCCCCGTGAGCGCCCCCAAAACCGGCTCACCATCTCAGAATCTTTGCTTCTTCGGTTACAGCATCATTGCTTTATTTCGTTTTTTAGTTGCAGGAGTGATGTGTGTTGATTTTTTTGTTTTGGTTTCATTGCCGGAGCATTAAGTTCAGCCTCTTTTCTAGGAAAAGAGCAAAGCCCCGTGAGCGCCCCCAAAAGGGTCTGAAACCGGTCTGAAACCACTCTGAAACACCCGCTGCTCACCATTTACAACGCTCTCTCTCTCCTCTCCCTCTTCCTCTCTCTGTCTCTCTCTCTCTCTCTTGCCTTCTGTTTGTCTCCATCTGTGTCTCGTGCTATCCTCTTTTCCGGACCGCTGCATGTCTTTCCGGACCGTAATGTCTACAATTAGAGTGCGTTTTGGGTGCTTGCTTTTCCGGACCGCTGCATGTTTTTCCGGACCGCAATGTCTACAGTTAGAGTACGTTTTGGGTGCTTGCTTTTCCGGACCGCTGCATGTCTTTCCGGACCGCAATGTCTACAGTTAGAGTACGTTTTGGGTGCTTGCTTTTCCGGACCGCTGCATGTCTTTCCGGACCGCAATGTCTACAGTTTGAGTACGTTTTGGGTGCTTGCTTTTCCGGACCGCTGCATGTCTTTCCGGACCGCAATGTCTACAATTAGAGTGCGTTTTGGGTGCTTGCTTTTCCGGACCGCTGCATGTTTTTCCGGACCGCAATGTCTACAGTTAGAGTACGTTTTGGGTGCTTGCTTTTCCGGACCGCTGCATGTTTTTCCGGACCGCAATGTCTACAGTTAGAGTACGTTTTGGGTGCTTGCTTTTCCGGACCGCTGCATGTCTTTCCGGACCGCAATGTCTACAGTTAGAGTACGTTTTGGGTGCTCGCTTTTCCGGACCGCTGCATGTCTTTCCGGACCGCAATGTCTACAATTAGAGTGCGTTTTGGGTGCTTGCTTTTCCGGACCGCTGCACGTTAGACCAGCTTGCGTTCAAACGAGCCCAATGCTGGACCCCAGTTGGGCTCAAGTTGGGCCCAAAATCGAGAACCGATTCGACGCAAGTTAGCTTCCCAGACACCAATCATTCCACAGGAATTGCGGCCCTGGTCCCGTCTCACAGCTGCCCAAATAGACGGAATCTCCCGGAATTCTCCAAGTGTCCGGGAGGAGCAGGCCTCACCGGAAGAGACCGAAATTATTTCCCTGTTAGTTAAAGCAGCTTTGCTGCTTGTTAAGAAAAGGTTTGTCCGTGATGTCACATTTTGTGACCATGTCATACTTGGGGAGAGTGGAAGTTCTGGGCCAAGGAGCCGAAACAGGAAGGCCCTGAAGGACGGACCGGGCCTGCGGGCCACGGCCCCCACTGCCTAACGTTGCTTTCTGAACCGACAAGAAAACTAGCTCTCTGAGCTGTCTTCCAGCCGCCAAGGCTCACAAACGGCGCCTTCACCACACCGAAACAGCAGGGCCCTGAAGGACGGACCGGGCCTGCGGGCCGCCGCCCCAGCCGCAGTAGACCCAAGCCCGCGAAAAATACCCGCGTTTTACGGTGTTTTGTGCTCTTCCCATTTTTTCCCATTTTTCGGCTCTTGTGGCTCAAGATGGGTCAACATGGGCCAACATAGGCCTCAAGATGGGTCAACATAGCCCCAAACAGCAGGGCCCTGACGGACGGACCGGGCCTGCGGGCCACGGCCCCCACGCCCTAACGTTGCTTTGTGAACCTACAAAAAAAACTAGCTAGCTGTCTGACCTAAAACGGCGCCTCGGCCACAGCTAAACAGCAGGGCCCTGAGGACCGAGCCTGCGAATTTTCTCTTTTCGCCCCTTGTTGCTAGCAAGGCCTCCTCTGACGGGCTCCCCCAGCTGGCGGCAGGGGTCGGCGGATATATATATATATAAATATATAAATATATATATATATATAGCATTGGTATATTTCAGATGGCTCGTTTTGAAGATGATGATCAGACCTAGAGAAGGGAGTTTGCCAGATTGGCTGTACTGGCGCTTCCTTCTGTGGCAGAGTCTGCATACAACATCTAGACTCAATTGTCACGTGCTCTTGGAGGGTTGCTAGTGAATGTTTGTTGTTGTTCACAGGCCACCGATGCCAAGAAGCAGAAGGTGGCCTATGGTAAGGGGCCAAGGATGTTCCCAGAGGTGCAAGATGCGGACCAGTTTGCCAAACAAGTCCAGTCGCCCTGCAACAACCTCGATGGCAATGCACTTCCAGTGAGTGCCTTCGTGCCCGGTGGCCGAGTGCCATGTGGTACAAGTCAGTACGAGAAACGTGGTATTGCCATCAACGTGCCCAAGGTTGACATGGACAAGTGCACTCAGTGCAACAAGTGCAGTCTCATCTGCCCCCACGCGGCAGTGCGACCATTCCTGGCCACCGGACAAGAGCTCGCAAAGGCACCAGCAGCTTTCAAGGATGGCAGCCGTTCCGCAATTGGAGGTGGTGTCTTGGACAACTACCAGTACCGCATCCAGGTCTCCCCATGGGATTGCACAGGCTGTGAATTGTGTGTCCGCATTTGCCCTGCTGATGCATTGACCTTGGGACCTGCAGAGAAGGTCATTCAGGAAGAGGAAGCCAATTGGAACTTCGCAGTGACCCTCCCAGATCGTGGTGATGAAATTGACAAGACCACTGTGAAGGGCTCCCAGTTCCAGAAGCCGTATCTCGAGTTCAGCGGGGCCTGTGAAGGATGTGGTGAGACTCCTCATGTGAAGCTCATGACTCAGCTTTTCGGTGATCGACTCGTCATAGCCAATGCGACAGGCTGGAACGTCAAAGTTTTGCTTTTTGTCTGAGTTCTAATATTTGATCCAATCATGAAGAGTGCCGCCTTTCTCTAACTCTGCTCTGGAATTTCAATTTCTTTCTGGATTGTCGTTTTAAATGTTCTACTTCCAGTGGGTCCGTTTTTTCGATGTTCAGTTTGATTCGCCTTTCAGCTCGCAGAAGTTGCAGGCTGCTCCTCCATCTGGGGTGGCTCCAATCCGTCCTTCCCCTACACGACCAACACCAAGGGCGAGGGCCCTGCTTGGGCCAACTCGCTCTTCGAAGACAACGCCGAGTTCGGCTTTGGCATGCGAAAGGCGGAGCCTGTCTGGTGACCACCAGGGGTGGAGAACACCCGTGTTTGCTCTACAGGATGGGGCCCCCAAGATAGCTAAGTTGCCTTATAAGTGGCTTAACTATGGTTTATGGTAGATATATCTACCACAAGTTAACGGGGTTTAGAAAACAACTTATAACTGGGGGGCACCATCCTGTAGGTTTACCCAAATATTACTGTAGAGATCCCCCAAAACATGGTAAAAGGAATGTAAGAAGGAAGGTTCGTGGGAGTGGCTGTGAAACAAATAACCCATCCAAATAGTCTTAAGAACTTGAAATTTGGAGTGCGGAGTTCAACCCTTTTCGGTAGGATTTGATGGATCCCTTGGGATATAGCAGACATATTCGTTCCACTCCACATCCCATACCTCCATATCCACCTTTGAGGATGTATCTTTCAGGTTCCTGGCACACTTCTGGCATGTCTGCTGCGGGATGGAAACTGTCAAGCACATCCCCGGTTGTAAAATGCATAAGTGTTGCAGGGGCAAATGCCTCGGGTGCCAAATTCAACCGAGGAAATTTCAGTTGGAGTTCCCAACCATCACCACCACCAGCACCAACAGCAACAGCAACAGCAACACCCTTATCCTCTTTATCCCTCCATGCAATAAGTCAGACCCACGTGGTTGCTGCCTGCTCGCCAGAGGCCTTCAAGCAGCGTCGCGATTACCTTGCGATGCAAGTTGAGGTCCGACATTGCCAACGATTGTTTTTTTGGTGCAACAAGTAGTAGCTGCTAGGTGTGACGACCGCGTTTGCATGTTGATGTTCATCGTTTGGTATTGATGTTGATGTCATTTCACGTCGATGTTCAACGATGTTCAACAAGGTTGCTGAAAGATGTAGCTATGTTAGCCTGTCATGTTAGCTCATCCTGTCCGAAAGAATGCAGGACACCCTGAGCGACAAGGCGGTGACGATGTCAGATGACCTGCGACAAGCCTTGAACCAGTTCTTGGTGATGCGCAAGGCCACTGAACCAGCCATGAATCCTCGAATTTATAGCCCAAAAAAAGATGGAAACATATGGAAACATAAGATCCTAGTGGTACATTTCACGTTTTCGTTCTTTTTCCAAACACTTTTTCATCCTGGTCTTGGCAAATCGAATCGAGAGACAGATGCCGATGCTATCAGGAGAACATGCATGACTTGCTCTTGCCAAAGGGTCGCAGTCACTTGTCCGAACTGCAAAGCCTCGCTGGTGCAAATTGAGCACCACGGTCCCTGGTGTGGCCTGGTTGAACCACCCTGATCCGAGGTATTTATCACCAGATCATGGAAAAGTTGGTGCCATTGCTGGAAAAGGACCGGCTGTAGCCGGATTTGTCGCCGAAACTCTGCCTGACTTCAATTCGATTCAATTCCATACCAGATGTGAAACTTGTGACCCACAACTTGCAGGAGAAGGGCGATCATCCAAAAATCCACAATCTCTACGATTTGCACCTCGGCGCGAAAAACGTCGAAAAACTGGACCATGCTCAGCAAGACTTCTACGGATGTGGCGGCATTGTATGGGCCTGCACTTGTTGAGTGTTTTTCTCCACCTGCCAGGTGAGGGTCTCTAGATTTTATCAGAGTTACTTCATGTTACTTCCTCCTCCTCTTCCTCCTCCTCCTCGTCCTGCGAGCTCCAGATTTCAGTGGGTACTGTTGGACCGCTGACATTTGGCGCTCGCGGTTGAGGTCCGGCAGTGCCCACGTCAGAGAGAATGTCAGAATAAATGCCATGTAGAATGCTCAAAACAATAGCTGCGCGTCCCTTGAGTGCAATACTGCCAGTACTCCGACTGAAAGTGGGGGACGAAGGTTTGCACTCACCGCGGCTTTTAGGCTCCAGAATTGAACAGAATGCCAGGTAGAATGCCAGAAAGAATGCCAGAATGAATGCCGGAATAGATACCAGAAAGAATGCCAGATAGATTGGCAGAATAGAAAGTCAGAATAGATACCAGATAGATAGAAGGCCAGAATAGATTCCAGAAAGAATGTCAGAATAGATGCCAGAAAGGATGCAGGATAGGAGGTCAGAATAGATGTAAGATATAATTAATTTATAATGTCAGACTAGAATGTCAGAATAGACTGTCGGATAGAAACCAGAAAATATATACAGTATACATCCGTATACTTCCAGATGAGATGTCAGAAACTATGACAAAATAATGTCACGGTGGGGATCACTCGAAGTAAAGTACTTTCCATCTCTCTCTCTCACTCTCTGACAATAACTTCAAACAAAGTCTTTTGTCACCACATCTAGGAAGTCTGCGCATGCAGATAGAGTTTGAGGATCGATTGTTGGCACGGTGCCGCTGAGGGAAGACATGTTCGGCCGCAGCAGCTTCTGGATTGTTGGCGGAGACGGCTGGGCCTACGACATCGGCTATGGTGGCTTGGACCACGTCATTGCCAGTGAGGAACATGTGAACATCTTGGTGCTTGACACGGAGATGTACAGCAACACTGGTGGACAGGCATCCAAAGCAACACCAAAGGGAGCCATGGCAAAGTTCGCTGAGGGTGGAAAGCTGACGCAGAAGAAGGACATGGGACAGTTGGCCATGACCTACAAGAACGTCTACGTGGCCAGCATTTGCGTTCATGTCAACCCACAGCAAGCAGTCCGCGCTATGATTGAGGCTGACGCCTATCCGGGACCAAGCATCATCCTTGCATACAGCCCATGCATCAGTCAAGGTTTCCCCATGGCCGAGTCCATTCAGCACTGCCAGATGGCAGTGGACAGCGGCTACTGGCCTCTTTACCGATACAACCCGGAGTTGGCAGCACATGGCAACAATCCGTTCCAGCTCGATAGCCGCAAGATCAAGGGCGATCTGTTCAAGTTCCTTGCCAAGGACCCGGCTGAAAGGGATGATGTTTGTCGGAGAAAGTAGAAGTCACTGCAACAATCTCTTGTCATCTCTTGTCCATATGCCATATGCATGCAACGACTGGATCTTCGGACTGTTTAGCTTGTCTCAAGCCTCGAAGAATGTCTTTTCTTGCAAACATGTTACCCCTGAACCCGCAGGAGAACCGCTTTGCAGCAGTGATGCGTCGCGATCCTAAGCATGCAGAGGAGCTTGACAACAAGTTGCAAGAGAACCTGGTTCAGAAGAACCATTTGCTTCAGGTTTTGAACAAAGAGGATTTGGAAGGGCAATTCAGCAAGCTGGTGGAAGGCCTTTCGGATGCCAAGAGCTCTGGAGATTCAATCACTGTGCTGTACGGCAGTGAGAGTGGCAATGCCGAGGAGCAGGCTAAAAATCTGATGCAAGATTTGATTGCTCGTGGTTTGAAGGCGACGGTGAGCTCGCTGGATGACTTTGAATTTGAGGAGCTGCCCAATCAGAAGATCATGATTTTGGTCGTCTCCACATGTGGATTGGGAGAGTACCCAGCCAACTGCAAGCAGACTTGGCTGAAGCTGCAGTCGGCAGACTTGCCAATGTCTTGGCTGTCAGGTGTGAAGTTCTGCGTCTTTGGCTTGGGCGACTCAACCTACAGCCAGTTCTGTGTGGCTGCAGCAGGCTTTGATACGCGCTTGGGTGAGCTTGGTGGTCAGCGCATGCTCAAGCGCGGTGTGGGAGACGACCGTGATGAGGATCGCTACTACACTGGATGGGAAGCCTGGTTGCCAGAGCTTTGGAAGGTCCTCGGAGCCCCAGCCCTGCCACTGAGCCAGGACATTCCAGCCCCATCCTACAGAGTTGATGCCTCTCCAGGTACTCTGGGAAAGCCACCTGTGAGTGACGGCGACATCATCCCACCTGGTGCCAACCGACTCACTTTGCTCACGAACAACGTGCTGACTGGTGATGCCAAGTATGATCGAGACATTCGTCACTATGAATTTAAGATCGAGGGCACCAACGTATCTTACAAGACTGGTGAAAGTCTGGCCATCTGGCCGCGCAACCCAGAGGACAAGGTCTTGGAATTCTGTCAAATGATGGGCTTTGACCCTGCGCAGAACCTGAGAGTCCTTCCTTTGGAAGGAGCCCGCAACTGGTGCCCTACAGAGCTGAGTGTGCGACAGCTTTTCTCCCATGTGCTTGATATTTTCGGAAAGCCGAACCGAAAGTTCTACCAGACTCTTGCGCTCTTTGCAAAGGATGAGGGTGAAAAGAAGCAGCTGCAAAGCATTGTCGAGAATAGCAAGGAGGGAGCTGCCCTCTATCGCGACCTGACCCAAGACTTTGCACACCATGCAGATGTTCTGCAGAAGTTTGCAAGCGCCCGACCTCCCATTGAGCACTTGTTGCAGATGATGCCGGTGTTGAAACCCAGGAGCTACTCCATTGCCAGCTCTCCTTTGATGCATCCGGACAAGATCCAGCTCTGCGTGGTACTGGTTGACTGGACAGTGGAGACCACCAATGAACTTCGACTGGGTGAATGCACAGGCTGAAGCGGGTAAATAGAGGGCAAGGACTTGGAGGTTTTGCTTGCCAGCTACGATTGGAAATTCAACTTTTCATCTCTGGATGTAAGATTCTGTAAGCCTTTGAAGTGGGTTAGTCTACATTTATCCATCTTTCTGGAAAATAGAACAGCTTCCGGCCCCAGTTCGAGATCCGAAATGAGATACATGAGACAATGGAGTTGAGTACCTTGAGACGGCTCCCCCTTTCAGGCTACATGCGTCAGCAAAAGCCCGGGGCACAGATCATGTGCGCCGTACGATCCAGTGCCATTGTTTTGCCCAAGGACTCATTGGGACGGGTGATTTTGGAAATTGCACTGGCACTCAGCTCACTTTCACAGTGTAAAATACTGTAAATGATGTTCTTAAAATGACGGACCAACTGCTTGGAATACTTCATTTTTGAGATCTTTAAGAAACCGCCTGACTTTTGCCTGGATATCCCAAGGGCTTCCGTGGGGGCAGGAGCCGGAAAAGCCAGTGATCATGGCAGGCATGGGCACTGGCTTGGCACCATGGCGAGCCGTAACGCAGGACAGGGTGTGCGGCTTGCGGGCTACAAGCGGCAGGGGGTTGAAGTCACAACTTCATCTATAGCAACCCCCACAAAAGATAGCACATTTCAATCCTATATAATCCGAAGTTTTTTTTTTCTGAAATATCGAGTTACTATAAATAAGCTGAAGGCGAACGCATGAAAATCATCCCCCTGCATGGCCATGTTCCAGGAGCGTGTGATGCAGAAACGCAAAGGTATCGACGTTGGAAAGTGCATGCTCTTCTTTGGAGCCCGATACAAGCAGGACTGGCAGGGGGAACAGTAGGGAATCCTGGAATCCTACAGCCTTTTACAAGAGACCCGTGTGTTAAAATTTGACTGAAATGGAGAAGTTGTTACTGTCCGTTTGGAGGAAAAACTTGGCAAGCAAGATCCATTGCCATTTGTGAAGACATGGTGGCGACCTTGTATTGGGTCAGGCCCTCGCTCACGCCTACTTTTTGGCTCGCTAAATGTGCCCGGCCCCCGCGCCCCTGTGTTACCCAGTAAATTCCCTCTCCCCAACCCCAAAGATGAATAAAATCTGTATTTGCACGGTCCCCTAGATCCCCTGTGCCCTGTTGTCCACATCCCCTGTCCCCAGTCCCCACCCCTAAAGATGAACTCTAAAGACTCTAAAGGTGTGAATCCAGCATCCAAGATGGTCGGCTCAAGTGATCCTTGGACCCCTGGCAGGGGTTGGAACGCCCACGCCAGGAGTGGCTGTACCGAGAGGAGTTCGAACGCTATGAGGCCGAGGGCGTCCTGCAGATGCACACGGCCTTCTCCCGGGAACAGGCGCCACGGGGTGCCACAGTTTGGTGGGTTCCGATGTCAAGGTTGGATCGGTGCCCTCAGCCTTGCAAGATGCTTGTGGGATGCTGCTACTTCATTTCTTGGTGATCTGGAAGTGTTGGAAGTTGACTTGATGACTACTTCATTTTTTCAGCTGGCGGGAATAGGAGGGTTGAGCCCAAGGATATCCAAGTATTCTTCTCGTATCTTGAGAGCCGCCTGGTGGATTCTGAATGTTTTGCTTGGTTGCTTTCGACCAAGCTCGCAGGCCAGAAAGATCTACGTGCAGCACAGAATTGTGGAGGCCACTAAGAATGCACCTCCTCGGATGCGCAAAGATGGGTTTAAAAAAAACGGTTGATTTTGTAGTCAGTTAATGGATTTAGAAGACACTTCTTTTTGGTTGAAAAAATCTTTTGCCACAGGTTTTTGAGGCTGAGATTAACAGAGGCCTTTAGGCCTCGGAGAAGATTAAGACCATCCAACATCTGTAAAATCAGCACCATATTTTGTTGCATGTTTCAGCATGTTCCAGCTATTTTGATTTGAACAGTGTACGAGGATTTTCATAGCCATACGGGCCATATGTCTTTGATTCTGCAGGCTGGAAACGACGTGGCAGAAAAGATGCTGAACCAAGGAGGCCCTGTGCGAAGCAGAAAGTCGTACTTCCGATATGGTTGGTGAAGTTACTTACTTCTGCCCGCGATTGGGGTTTGTTTCCTGCTGTTTTTATCTCAAGAAACCTTTGGACACCTTTGAAGGCAACAGAGTTCAGAAGACATGCGGGACAAGAACAACTTGACATCAAAGTCATTTGTTTGGTCAATGGGAATTTCAGGATCCTAAAATGGAGGTTTTAGGATGTTTTAGGATCCTGGAATTCCCATTGATTTGGTGAAGCTGCCATGATGCTAAAACGATTTGGAGCAAAGCTCCCACCCAGTGGACCCAGTGGGTGGACCGACAAAGCGCTGTCCGCACAGGTCACTTCTATGTCTGTGGCTCCGCGCGACAAGTGCCGGAAGACATCTACACAGCCATGAAGGAGGCAGGACGTCAGGGTTAAAGGTCAGGGTGTCCTGCATGGTGGCTGGATTTGATAGAGGGTTAGTCCCAAATGAAAGAACCAGAATGATGTACTAGGATATGAATGGAAATGATTACTTTGAGTTATAGTCGTTTGTATGAGCTCTAGATCCAGTTTGTGACACGGCGTAGTCTCGTACTCAAAGGAGACTGTGGTCATGCAGTTCAGTAGGTCGCAGAAATTTAAACACGGGCACGATCCTTTTTCTCAAAATATCAGGAGTTGAAGTCAGATTTTGAGGGCAACTGCATATCAATCAAGTGGATCTTCCCTAGAAAGCTCTGGTTCTTTTGATGCATAGGTGATGAACTATGGCTCGGAGCAACAGATGCCCGTGGTTGTTGTAACACAGGTATATGTTAGCACGAGTGCTATATTTCAGGATAGCTTTCAGAGATGTCTTCGTATTTTAATTTTCTGCCTTCGATCCTTTCAACTTCTCATGACTTCGGCCTAGTCAAAACCTTGGCCAAGAGCACGTCCAGGGTCCCGGGTCCCATGTATTTGATAGGACACTTGAGTGATATCATATAGGCATGGGATCACATAGGTATAAATTGTATAACTACAGAAAAAGGCATGCTCAGTCCCGCCTTTATCCAACCCGAAATCTGCCCATGATTGGCTTTGGAAAGCAGGTGATGATGGCCCACGAAAGATGTGGGGAGGAAGATGCGGAAGCAATTTTGTCAAATTTGAAGATGGAGGGACGTCCCTTGGCAGCTCGGAGATGCAGACGGTACCATTGATGCTTGGGAGGCTAGTTCTACCAGCAGGATTGAGATAGGGCTTATTTGCCCACTGGAAGGGGTTCAACCACTTGGGTCATCTCATTGCCTGCTCAGGTTACACCGTTGAGGCGTGGTCCTAGATGTTTTGTGAGGCTGGTGCGTGGCACCAATCCTTGTTTCGCGTTTCGAAGTCCTGTTGAGGAAAGAATATGGCTCGCAGGATTTCTAGAATTTGCGAACGGCAAGGCCGTTTTTGTGCAGATCTTCGCTTGAATGCTGGGCCGAGGTTTCGGCTTGTAAGCAAAGCTGGGCTTGGTCCATCTACACTCCCCTTGAACGGAACATGTGTGTTGAAGTGGACCCAGATGACTCAGATCCTTTTGATTTGTGAAATATGTGTCAAGATTACTGGTTGCGGGGTGGTGTCATCCTAGATTCAAAGACATGGTGAAGCCCGCCCTGTCCGGATAGTCCAACAATCCTAAGTGACGTACCCTTTGAAGGTGACAAAGCAAGCTCAGAGCATTGCCGTGTTCGGTGTTTGGAGTGATATATTTGCACTGTTGCTAAGTTTTGGTTCACAAAATCATTACTCTCTCGAAAACCAACGTTGGGCAAAAAAAAATGGGTTCCATGTTAGCGCACCCATGTTGAAATTCATGAGCGGGATAAGTGCCAGGTAGGTGCCATGTGGGTGGTAGTGAGTTTGGACGGTTTTGCCCAAGTTTTGGCGGGAGAGGGATCAAAAAAAAACAAATAAGGATCAAAAAAACAAATAAGGATCAAAAAAAAACAAATAGGGATCAAAAAAAACAAAATCCAGAAAACATGAGAAAACACAAGGAAACTATCACGAAATGAAGGCAAAACCCATGGATCAAAAAAAACAAAATCAGGACAGGAAAGAAAGAAAGAAAGAAAGAAAGAAAGAAAGGAAGGAAGGAAGGAAGGAAGGAAGGAAGGAAGGAAAGAAAGAAAGAAAGAAAGAAGAAAGAAGAAAGACAGAAAGAAAGAAAGAAAGGAAGGAAGGAAGGAAGGAAGAAAGAAAGAAAGAAGTAACCTTCTCTTGAAAAATGAAAGGAAAGCTTCCTTCTCTTGACCCCCCCACCCGCTTTTATTTTTTAGCCGGCTCCCCTTGCTACCTACTATTCTTTTTTTCACAAGCATCATCGTTGTTTATTTGGATTCATTTAATCTTGATTGATATCCATCGCGACTTGTGCCTATGTACTTCTTTCTTGGTACGCATTGCGGGGGGAGGCGCTGCGCCCTCCCCCCTGCACCCCCACCCGCTTTTTTTTTAATCGGTTCCCCTTGCTACCTACTACTCTTTTTGTTTTTCATAAGCATCACCGGTTATTTGGGTTCATTTTATCTTGATTGATATCCATCGAGATTTGCGCGTATGTACTTCTTTCTTGGTACGCATTGCGGGGGGAGGCGCTGCGCCCTCCCCCTGCACCCCCCCACCCGCTTTTATTTCTTAATTGACTTCCCTTGCTACCTACTCTCTTTCATTTTTTTCATAGGCATCGTTTCTTTGGGTTCATCTTCTCTTTCTTAATCTTTATTTATATCCATCGAGACTTGAGCCTGTGTGCTTCTTTCTTGGTACGCATTGCGGGGGGAGGCGCTGCGCCCTCCCCCCTGCACCCCCCCACCCGCTTTTATTTTTTAATCAGCTTCCCTTGCTACCTGCTCTCTTTCATTTTTTCATATGTATCGTTTCTTTGGGTTCATCTTCTCTTTCTTAATCTTTATTTATATCCATCGAGACTTGAGCCTGTGTGCTTCTTTCTTGGTACGCATTGCGGGGGGAGGCGCTGCGCCCTTGTTTTTGTTTCGACCTAATACCTACATAGGTACATGCATGAGTATTGAGCACATTTAGATGCGCCCTTCAAGGCTCAAGAGGTATATAGAGTAACCCTGTAGACAAGCACGGACCGGCAACAGGCTGAGTAAAACAAGTGCTGTCATTGGGGAAGACGCCTTAGCTGATCTTGAAGTAGACGCTAGGGCCCCTCTTCAAGTGGTAGCGGAGCTGTGATCCCTCATTGAGGGTGAGCTCCAGGAAGAGCCCAAGCAATGGCACGCCATGGCTATGATGATGATGACTTCGACATTGTCGAAGCAGATGGATGGAACCAATATGACTCTTATGCAATGAGAAGAGCACCCCAGCAGACACAGATTCACATGACGCAGCAGATGACCACAAAGGTAGCCCCAGCATATGATGGAAGAACTAGTTTCTTTGCCTTTGAAGATGCAATTGATGACTGGTGTGATATCACAGAGCTGGAACCAGAGAAACGTGGCCCAGCACTGCGCAATCGGCTGGAAGGAGATGCTCAACAATACAAGAGGCTATTGGATAGAGAGATGCTCAGGGATCCCAATGAAGGAGTAGCTTATTTCAAAAGATTTCTACGACCTCATTTCATCAAAGGTGCCCAAAACGTGTTCTTATACCGTTTCATGCAGTTCATGAAGTTCAACAGAGGAACTATGGATCTTCAGAAGTGGATGACTAGATTTCAACTCACTGGAAATAGACTTATTGAGTCTTGGATGGATTTACTTCCAGAAGCAACAGTGACTAGTCCTGAAGCAATCGTGTTTGTTGCACAAAAACGTCAAGAACATGAACGAGATCAACAAGAGAAAGCTGAAGCAGCAGCAGCCTTAGGAGCAGCTCCTCATGTAGTTGTTCCTTGGTCAGATGAACTGGCATTAGTGGCATTCAGACAGTACAATGAGCAGCGTAGACCAGTACAAAGACAGGCATTCCCACTAGGTGAAAATTTGCTAGCCATTGATTTTTGTAAGTCTAGCAGACCTGACACAGGATCAGAGAAACACACTCACAAGTATCATGACACATCGTGGACGAACCCTCGATCAATACAACATTCAAGAACTACGTGATCTGTTTTTGGAAATGTTTTGCGCTACCAAAACAGCAGTTGACAACCCAATGATGCAACCCTCTGGCATAGCACAGAGAAGATCTTTCCTCGTACTGGAAGAAGGTGAATTAGAAGGAACCGACGGCTATTGGGCCGAAGATGATGAAGACGGCGCAGAAGGATTCCTGGATGCTTTAGAAGATGTTTTCTGGGTTTATGATGACGCTGACTACACATGGTATCAGAGAAGGTTCCAAGGCAGACAGGCCAGACGAGGCAAAGGTAAAGGAAAGAGAAAAGGAAAAGGAAAAGGCAGAGGAGGACGAAGGTTCTTCAGATCAAGGAAAGGAAAAAGCCGAGGAAAAGGAAGAAGGAAAGGCCGTGCTCACATGGTGAGTGAAGAAGGTTATGAAGAAGATTGGCAAGAAGAAGAATGGAATGAAAACTATGAAGGCTATTGGGCCGATGATCAAACCTGGAATGAAGGCTATTGGGCCTATGATGATCTGTACTACATGGATGAGTATGGATACTTCCAGAAGAAAGGAAGAGGAAAAGGAAAAGGAAAGAAAGGCAAGAAAGGCAAGGATGATGATGGCAAAGGAGGAAAGCCAGGAGATGGAAAAGGCAAGTCAAACTATGTTCAACCTCAGACCACATCAACTCCTGCCATACAGAATCAACAAACGCAACAAGCTCATTATTCTTCTACTGCATCAAGTTCTGGTCATGGTTTCTTTGCTTTTGCAGAAACTGAACCATTACGTGTTGATGTTGCAGAGACAGAACCAGCACGTGTTGATGTTTTGACATCCATGTATGAACAACAAGAAGTACAACGACGCACTCGTCGTGGAGGACAGAACCAACGTGGAGGACAGAACCAACGTGATGCAACAGCACAGCAAAACAGGAGAAGATTCCCTGTTCTGGTTGGAGATCTTGATGCACTTCGACGAGGTGTACAACGACGTCCAGCTCGTGTGCCCAGGCAAGTTGGTCTTCAAGAAGGTGAGGCTTCATGGAAGCCATTGGCAAAAGGCACATCATTGTTTTCATATGGATGCTCTACAGAGATAGAGGTACCATCACAGCAGAGTGCTTTTTCATTTCATACTGTACAGACTGATCTGGCATGTGAGAAAGGACTAGCTTTTCACACAGAGAATTCTGCTCCACCAACTGCATGTATCCTGGATCTTGGATGCACAAGAGCTATGGGCTCTCGACGAGCAGTTGAAGCATTTTGCAGATATGTTGACTCACATCCCAACAGTGAACTCTGGTATGAAATTCAGCCAACAAGTTCAAGATTCTTCTTTGCAAATTCACAGCAATCCAAATGTACTGAGAAGCTCGTGATATTCATGTATGATCATGGATGGAACACTCAGTTCACAGAATTCGACATTGTCGAAGAAGGTGATGTCCCATTGTTGATGTCACTTCCACAGATGAGAAACCTTGGATTTCAATTTGAACTTACTCCAGAGAAGGCTTATTTGTCCTGTGCACGTATTGGCATGAGAAAAATGGTTTTGAAGACAGCCATCAGTACTCATCTCATTCTCGACCTACAAGATGTAGCATGGTACATGAGCCAAGTTCATTTCAAGACTCCTCAAGCCAAGAGTTTCTTTTCACAACACGATCACTTTGAGTACAGCCAGATTGCTGTCAAACAAGATGTTCATGAAGAAGAAGCTTTGGTGACTGGTGACTATTGGCAAGTTGATCCATTACGTCGTGAACTCATCTGGCACCACAAGGACAAGAGAAGGAATCTACATGAGATGAGTCGATCAGAAGAAACTCCAATTCCAAAAGATCAACTTCTTGATGAGAGAGAAACACACCAAGAGTTCCAGAAGAGCCAGAAGAAGGTTCTTCACAAGGACAACTGGCGCACAGACAGGAAGAGGTTTTCTGAACAGAGTGAAGAGTTCTGGAAGGGCAAGACCATCTACAAGATCAAGGAGGACTACGTGATCCCAGAAGACATTGTCAGAAGTGACATTGCTCGTGCAAAGCCCTTTCGTGGAAACATTGATGAACTTTTTCACCCTGAGTCAGCCTCTTCAGTGCCATCAGGTGTACAGAAGAAGAAGCCATGCTCCTCACAGAAGGAGGTAGGCAAACCATTTCGAAAGGACCAAGCTCGAAAAAGATTGAGGTAGGTCCTCCAGCAGCCAAGAGACACGTAGGTAAGCAGAAACCTCAAGTTGTCGATGACTCTCAATCAGGTTCATCAAGAAAGAAGGTTGTTGTCTCCTATCCCAAGCTTGATGAAGAAGATGAACTTGACATAAGAGCTAGGGAGTTAGGTTTGGACAAAATTGATTCAGATGAACCTCAAGTCATTGAACCAAAACCTTCTGCACCTGCGCGCAACCGTGGTAAGCAAGATTCAGAAAGTCAAGTTGAGAAACTAGGTAGTGATGCTC